GATCCTCAGATCTCAACCTCCAAAGTAGCTAGCATTATGAGCCACCAGAACCGAGCTATTACTCAGTTCTTCTAGGGGAATTTGAAATTTTCATTATTCCAACCCTAGTACTGCTTTTTGTGATGGATGGTCTTCTTTTTGCTTAATTGGAGAAATTCTCCACTAAAGCCTTGCTAAGGACCGAAAGCTTCATAAAATGTGCACCTTCCTTCTAATCATTCCTCATCATTGCTTCCTTCTGGGGCCTTTTTTTCCTGGAATATTCCAGAAGGCTTACCAATGTACCAGAGAGTAAGATATCATTTAAAACTTTACTGACTGACAGCATGACAGCCTGTGCAAGAAAAAAAAGTAAGCAGTACCCAGGTGTCAAAGGCTCACAACTATAATCCTAAATCCTAGCTACTCAGGAGGCTGAGATCTGACGATACTGGGTTTAAGCCAGCCTAGACAGAAAAGTCAATGAGACATTTCCACTTAACCACCAAAAAGTCAGAATGGAAATGTGGCTGTACCGGTAGAGCACCAGCTTTGAACAAAAAGGCCAACCAAGAGTGCTAGGCCCTAAATTCAAGCCCCAGTACAAGCATACACAGAAAAGTAAGGAGAAAAACAGCAAGTGACCCAGAAGAGAATAGGAAGAACAATAGTCATAACTCCTATCTATACACCAACCTGAGAAGAAAATGAGTGAAAAACACAGGCCTGGGAGAAAAGAGAAAAATGCAGGAAAGCATTTACTGTGCCACAAAGCACCACTGGCAATATACATATGTGCACAAATCAGGAAGACAGGCTTTAGCTGCTCTGGGACCAGGCATGGAGACTATAGTTCACTGTTCAAGCGGAAAACAGGAGTGCCTAAGGCTGGATGGAGGGGAGCTCAGGAGAAGTAAGAGTTAAAATCTGTCTCAGAGATAGCCTTTTTATGTCAGGATCCCACTAAGGTTAGTGTTTGCACTATTAGCAGGAAGGAGGAATAAATGTGAAAAGATAGTATTTATGCTGACACTGGTAGTTCACACCAGTCACCCTAGCTATGCAGGAGACTGCAGTCTGAAGACCATGGTTCAAAACCAACCTGAAACACCTATCTTCACTTAACCACCAAAAACAACTAGAAGTAGAGTTGTGTTTCAAGCAGTAAAGCACTAGCTTTGAACATTAAAAAAAATCTCAGGAACAGCACCCAGGCTCTGTGTTCAAGCCACAGTACCAGCGCCAAAAAAAAAAAAAGATGGTATGTATGACCCTAACCTAAGTTATCCTGTGGCTTTGCCTGGCAGGTCGAAAGGAGGATTTTCTTATTTTACCGAGTATTGAAAGCCAAGGCCAGCTCCCTTACACTGAGTCAGAAGTCTCCTTGGGATCTAAGGGCATTAGAAGGGAGAGTAGTTTAAGTATTCTCTGTCTACTTGGTTTTCATATTGTGGGAAACATGTTTTTGTTTTTGTTTTTTTAATTGTGAAAATACCGTACAGAGGAGTTACAATTACATGAGCAAGATAACGAGTTCATTTCTAATCAGGCATTGATGCCTCCTCTTTGTTTCCCCTTCCCATCCCTTCCCATACTCCCCCCACTTCCTCCAACCCGATCCTCGCAACCCCCCCCCCCCAACCAAAGTTGTAAAGTTCGTTTTTCAACATAATGACTTGTACATTGCATTGTTGCAATGGGTCCACCTGTATCCCTAGTTAAACGATTTGTTTTTGCCCTTCCCCTCCACAAATTATACCAACATCAAATACAGTGAAAGCAGGGGTTATACCGTGGGGGAGGGACATACAAAGCAACATAGAAATCATCTTATAAATCTGTTAAAAACAATTTCATCAAAGAAAAAAAAAACATTTGAATACTTATCTAGGGGTTCATTCCCCTAACATCAACTTATCTGACCTTTTCTGCTTGACTCGGACATATACTAAGTTATTGCAAATAAGGGAAACCATGGGACCTATGTGTCTTTGGGCCTGTCTTACTTCACTTAATATAATTTTTTCCAAGTCTTTCCATTTCCTAACAAATTGGGCAATGTCATTCTTTCTGATGGAGGCATAAAATTCCATTGTGTATATGTACCACATTTTCTTAATCCATTCATCTACTGAGGGGCATCTGGGTTGGTTCCATATAGGTCTCCTTGGCACATACCAAAATTTTCTTAATAGAGACCCAGAAACACAACAAATCAAAAAAAGTTTGGACAAATGGGATTGCATGAAATTGCAGAGCTTCTGCATGGCAAAGGACATAGATAGCAAGATCAATAGAAAGGCCATGGATTTGGAGAAGATCTTCACTAGCCATACAATGGACAAGAGTCTCATATCTAAAACATACCTAGAACTCAAAAAATTAAATCCCCCAACAACAAATCTTCAAAGAAAAAACTGCCCAATAAATAAGTGGGCTAAAGACTTAAAGAGAAACTTCTCTGAAGAGGAAAGAAGGATGGCCAATAAACACATGAAGAAATGCTCAACTCTTCTAGCCATAAAAGAAATGCAAATCAAAACAACACTGAGATACCACCTCACCCCAGTTAGAATGGCTATAATCAAGAAATCTAATAACAACAGATGCTGGAGGGGATGTGGACAGAAGGGAACCTTACTACATTGTTGGTGGGAGTGTAAACTTGTTCAACCATTTTGGAAAGCAGTATGGAGGTTCCTCAAAAGACTCTGCATAGAGCTCCCCTATGACCCAGCAATACCACTTTTGGGCATTTACCCAAATGTCACGAACAAGACCATACTAAAGCTACCAGCACAACTATGTTTATTGCAGCATTATTTACCATAGCTAAGATATGAAACATTTTTTTTTTGGGGGGGGGGTCCGGTTGTGGGGCCTGAACTCTGGGCCTGGGTGCTGTCCCTCAGCTCTTCAACTCAAGGCTAGCGCTCTACCTCTTGAACCACAGTGCCACTTCTAGCTTTTTTCTTTTTACTTGCGTGGTGCTGAGGAATCAAACCCAGGGCCTCAGGCATGCAAGGCAGGCACTCTACCACTGAGCCACCTTCCCAACCTCAATGAAACATGTTTTTTATAAACAACGATCAAAAGAATAAAAATTACAAAAAGTTCTAGCTTTAAAATTTGTAATATAAGACTAGAAAAAAAGAGTCCCATAATTCCCCTATGCAATCCTAACCACTATTAGCATTTGTGTTTCCTCACATATTTTTACATCTGCATTTCATGTAGCAGTATCATTCATGCATTCTTAAAGATATTCCAGACATATAAAAATATTGTTTTCAAGGCTACTGAGTGGCTAACATGAAGATGTGTTTTCAATTATATATAGTATTATCTTCCAAACTTCTTTTACACAAAGAACCTTGAATTTAAAGATAATAAAAATGAACCTATGTAACCATTATTTCATGAGCAGCTGTTTAGTCAACTTATCTCACTAGTATTCAAAAGGCAATTGGGAAACACTGAGAAAGGCCTATCTCAGTAAAGTCAATACACAAGGAACCCATGAGTAGAGTGATCTGTGAAACAAGAGGGTCTACTTCAAATGAGCACTTAGCAATCTCCATCAGGCAGCACCAGGGAATACACAGATCCCCAAAGCCCAGCAAACAAATTGTATGTGGAGAAAGAACTCTTTGTACCCAAATATATCTATAGCCCAGATTAATTTTCTCCTGATGGACTCTGAGGACACACTAAATTAAACAATGTCAACAAGGATTAGGAGCATAATAAGTCTCTGGAGAAAAACAGTGACTGCCAAACCCTTATGCAATCATTGTCAATAATTAAAAATCTTTCATCATGGAAGTCCCATTGTTAAATATTACATTCTGATGGAATTTTGATCTTTATTAGCCTACATCTTCATAATCTGTAGGCACTATATATTTGCTGCAGTCAGGTTTCAAAATTCCTTTTGCAGACAGAATTTCTCTCTAGATGCTGACTCTATTATCCCTTCACTTAGGAATATACTATTATCCCTTCATTTAGGAATATACGATCATTAGCCATTTAATTGCAACTGTCTATGGCAATATTGCTAACTATCAAAATTCCCCTCCCCCCATTACTGGGGCTTATTTTGGCCCTCAAGCTGTCACCTAGCTTCTTCATTCAAGGCTGGCACTGCACCACTTGAGCCACACCTCCAATTCCAGATTTTTGCCGGTTAATTGGAAAAAATTATCACTCAGACTTTTCTGGTCTGGCTGGCTTTGAATGAGATCCTCATATTTCAACCTTCTAAATACCTAGGATTACAGGTGTGAGCCACCAGTGCTATTTCCTTTTCACAGAAATAGATTTCAAGTGACCTTGTAGATTGTTAAGCACATTAAGTGTTTTTTAAAGTGTTTATTACATACAAGTGCACACTCCCTCTCAAAGAAATCTCTTTTCAACTTTTGGATTGGAATCATTTTAGTAATAACAATAATAATAATATTTTCTTTCCTTCTGTACTCCCTAGAATTCTTAGAATAATCCTTCATATATTCTTCAATCAACCTAGTAAGATATGTCCAGGATGAGATAAAGATTAAATTGCTCAAATAGTCACCTGTATATTGCACACAGAGACAATTCTGATTTTTAAAGTACCAGATAGTAATATTAAAGGTAAAGAAATTGGAGTTAGAAGATGCAGGACAGACTGCTGATCACTGGTTATAACAGTAAAAAATGAGATAATAGACCCAAAAAATCACATGTCAAATTTGAGACTTTCCATGATCATGGCTTGTCAGAAAAAAAAATCTAACTGTAGTCAAGGGTGACAATATAGGAGGTCAAAGGTTGTTCCATCCTATGCACAGATAACATTAGCTCTACATCGATTACATCTGAGGTGTTCCAATTACCTCACAAAACTCACACTCCACACACCTGCTGAATCAAAGGGAACATGCACAGGCTCAGTCACAAGTGGACTGAGAATTTCCACAGATTGCACAAACTATGACAAGTTTATCTTCAGACCACATGTACAGGACATACTGTACCTCGCATGCAATTCACAGAATCGTGAGAGAGGTTCCATCCCGAAGGACAAGCACAAGAATAGTAGCGAGGCCCCTGTGTAGAGAGCAGGCAGAGATGACTGCAGGGGGACGAAGCACATGGATTCGGGGCTGTAGGACAAAGAACAGAAAAGAACACACCTGTGAGTGGAAAATCCCCCGCCCTGCAGTCTGCACAGCCAGGCTGTGATTATCCTCCCAAAGGCTCCCAGTATTAGGAGCCATGAACACTGTAAGCAACCTCTGTTTGGAAGCACTCAAGGGAGGAGTGCAGTGTACCCAAAGTCACAGGTCAATATAGTCTATAACTAGTAAAGAACACACACACTGTGTGATCTGGAACTTAGTAACAGAAACATGATGCTAAATAATGTCTCCTTGCCTGACCTAAAACATATCTTTTTACACCAAGTTTATGTTTGCTCTGTGACCTTGACTTTTACACAGCATTGTCCAAGTTTTTGATTAGATAATAATCTTTTATTTTTCCACTGATGACATCGTTGTGTGTCTCAGCTCCTTGAAAAAGAGACCTTGTATGCATCCCAAGCTTGCATGATGTTTCTTGATACTATCTGTACTCGCTACACATGCCAGTTAGATTATTAAGCCATTCATTCCTCCCCTACACACACACACACACACACACACACACACACACACACACACACACACACACACACACACCAAGTATTAACTAGATAGTTACCCAACACCATTCTAAGCACTGGAGACAATACAAACATGGCAAAAAATTATAGTTTAGTTCTGTGGATACATGTATGTATGCAAGTTCATAATATGAAGGTAAAGAACAAAAGAATTAATTATTAGAGGAATGACTATTTTACATAGGACAGTCAAGAAGGACTTCTCTAAGAAAACGTTATTTGAGAAGAATCTTAAATGATATAAGAAAGCAACTCATGCAGAGACCTGGAAGGGAAAGGTTCCAGATAGAATGCAGAGCTAGTTCAAAAGTTCACGGGTGGGCCTAGCAGGCCGCTGGACCATGATGTATGTAGTCCAGAGTTGGTGAAAGTAAGCGGGAGAAGAAGCCAAGGCAGAGAAGGCAAGATTCTAAAGTGTGAGGAGAGGGGTTACAGGAGTAGCTAAGGAGGTAGCATGCTTGCCTAGAAAATGCAAAGTCCTGAGTTCAAACCCCAGTATTGCCAACAAACATAAAAGTGGAGGGCTTTGAGGAAAGATTATGGGAAGTTTAGTTCACTTACTTCCCTCTATCACCAGGAAGAATACAACTAAAACCAAATCTTTAAGTTGCTACCCATACCACATTCATGCACAAGGGTGACTTGGGTGGTACCTTCAAGGCAGTACTCTATAAAATAAATTTAATTTTTTAAAAAAAAAGAGTCCCAAACTGGATACATGTGGTCATAGCTGTAATCCCAGAGACTCAGGCTGAAAGCTGAGGATATGCGTTAAAGCCAGCCTGGGCAGGAAAGTCTGTGAAACTCTTATTCAATTAACCATCAAAAGGTGAAAGGAGAGATGTGGCTTAAGTGGTAGCGCACCAGCCTTGAGCTAGAAAGCTAAGGAACACACCTTGGCTCTTAGTTCAAGCCTCAGTACCAGTACCAGTGAGTACATGTGTGCGTATATGCACACACACATACACACACACACACACACACAAATGAGTCCCCACAACAAGCTGCTTTGAGCCATCCAGGGGTAGGGTAAGAGGATCTCAGGTGCTATGTGTCAGCTAAGACACTGAGACTCAGAAAAATCACAGCAGCAGTAGCTAATTGCTGAATATAACAACCCAATGCAGATGTGCTATTTTCTACACGATCTACAAGGCTTGAGTTTCCCATCGTAAAGGAAAGACATAGCAGTGTGGGCCTGGTGAGAGCATGGAGCAGTGTGGTGAGTGAAAAGAGAAAGCTAGGGGGGGCTGGGAAGATGGCTCAGTGGTAGAGTGCTTGCCCTGCATGCATGAGGCCCTGGGTTCGATTCCTCAGCACCACATAAGCAGGGGAAAAAAAAAAAAAAAAGAAAAGAAAAGAGAAAGCTATTGCCCAAACAAACAAATAAGCTGCAACAGCCTGTACTTAGCATCCCCAGAAATTATCTGTAAGCAGCGCCCAGGCAGGATGTTTTAGTGTGATCACTTACAGTCGGGTTGCTTTGAAGGATGTATGGCAACAATCCCAAGTGGCTGGGGGACATTGTACATTACAACAGACTGGTTTCCCCCATGCCACTTGTTGGCTTTCATCACCTTCCGAGTACCACGGTCAGTCCAGTACACAGAATCCTCAAAGAGAGTCAGGGCATGGGGATGCACCAGGACCTGAGAAGAAGAATCAACAATGAGAATCATTCTCACCCACACGTGAGAGCCAAGGAGAACTAATTTAAAATAGATAGCTGCTTAAGAAGATGGTTTTCTTCAGCAGTTAAGAAATCAGTAAATACATCTAGAAGTAATTGGGAAAGAGGCAAAACCAAACCAAACCAAAAACCTCACGACAACACTCAACATAATTTCACACACACGTCTCTACTCTATTAATGATACTGGCTGCCTATTCTACAATGAGAATACAACAAAAGAATAGAAAGCAATAAGTCCTGTCCAGATCACCAATTAGCTAGAGGTTAAGATGTAACTAAAACCCTAGCTCCTCATGGCTAACTGCCAGTCCCCAGGCACCCCTCCCCTACCTGGCCCCTACATCCTCACCGCTCCTTTCCTGGTGCTATCTAGCCACTCACTGGTTCCCATCAACCTGTTATTGCTTAAGTACATATTTCCTGAAAGGAGGGAGGCCTCTCAGGATCTCTTTAAGGCACAGGAACTATAAACAACAATAATCTTAAAGTCAATAACAACTTTTGGTAAAAGTACATTGCTTTGAACTTGTCCATTTAACTTATGAAAATTAATTCAACAGTTTATTTATTTGCTTATTTGAAATATGGAATTCAAACTCAGGGCCTTGTACTTGTTTAGCAAGGACTCTACCTCTTGAGCTATTCCACCAACCCTTTTTATGTTGGTTATTTTCAAGATAGGATCTGGGATTCGTGCCTGGTTCAGTCTCTGCTACAGTCCTACCATTCATGTTTCCCACTGTCACAAGGATGGCAGGTACACAACACTGTGCTCTCCACATTTGCCTAGCAAGCAGAAAGCCTTAACTTAAAACCTTAGTACTGTTTTAAAAAAAAATCCAGCACACACACACACATACACCAAGCTATAAACTAATTGGAAAATTTAAAAACTAGTTAGATGATTAATTCTTGTTAAGCATAACTTTTTAAGTAATTTTTATTGTGATTAAGTGATTACATAAATTTTACAGTATTGTGAGATAGTGACACTTAAAGTCACAAACACATTCTAACCTTCATGAGCCAAATTGTCATTAATGTGGTCTATAAAGTTTGTGAATTCTATGAGCTTTGACAATACAGCCATTTCTTCCACTTCAAGTGGTATGTACATTTCTTTCCTTTTGCTTAGTGTTAGCTGTTCCCTCTTTCCCTCATCTTCCCTCCCATGGCTGTCTTTGAGTTAACTAACCATAACTTTTAAAGGTAGACGAGGAAGAGATCACCATCTACAAACTGATTTGGTCATAAACAATTAATATATCATAGCACAAGCTGATCATGAACTATAATACAAAATATTTCTTTTCCTCCAATTAACAGAGGACAGGCTGTTCCTTTCTGCTGTTGATATTTCCTAGCTTGGCCTGATGTTGTTTCTGATGTGAAAATTAACTTCTTGAGTTTTCTTGATACTCGAGCAACTATGGTAGTTTTAATTTGGTTTCCTTCATTGTCAACTTACCAAACTACTGGCTACCACCTGTCTCCGATTGTGTCCATCATAATCACAAAAGTCTATGTAATCATGATAGGCATCCAGGAAGTAGAGCAGTCTGTTGGGGTAGTCAATGGTTAAGCCACAGGGCCAGTAGATCTTATCCTGGACAATGACAGTGCGTGAAGTGCCATCCATGCTGGCACGTTCAATACGAGGGTGACGGCCCCAGTCAGACCAGAACATCAGATGCTCACTGTGAAAAGACATTAGTTACCAACTGGAGGGCATAGCTCAAAATAAACAAATAACTGTTACTTAAAATAATGCAACATTCTCAGCTCAGATATAAAGCCTGGAATCTCAATGGAAAATGACCAGCTAATTAAAACCATTCCCATTAAATCTGAAAAGAAATCTACTCCCAACCAAAATAAAGGACACTATAATTACTCTAATAGGAATAGTAATAATAATAACAATATGTATCCTTTTCATGCTTTGCTTAAAATACATTGTCTCCAATTCAGAATGAATACACATAGCTTCGTATTTCCTCTATGTGCCACAAAGGAAAACTATAATCAAAATGTAATCACAGGCCTTCTGGGTGTTTTTATAACATTCATAAAACAAGCAGTACATAATGACACTGGAATGTCTCAATGCTGATTCATGTTTGTGTTTAAACCATAAATAGTTCACCCAGAAAAATCCTTCTGTCCTTGTTTGTCTACCCTGATACATTTTAGATAAGAGAATCAATTTATTCCTCCTCAGAGATTCATCATAAATATCACTGGTAGGTAATACTTTACATTATCTAGGAATTTGCCTCAATTGAACATGAATTGCATAATTTACAATTATGGAGAACAGAATCTTAAGTTCTAGAAACTAGCTCAATTCCAAGAAGGAAGCCCTATCAAGATACCTAAACACATGGGAGAAATTCTTTCTTCTCTTTATCATCATCAGGTAAAATTTTCTTGTTTATACAACTTAAAAGGGAACTCTAGTAAACAATGTGAAACTGAAGCAGAAAAATCTGGCTATTTTTCTGTGGTATCAAAGTCATTGTTAAGTGGTCTGCCTGTGGGTTATTATTGCATCCATTAATTAGAAACTTAATTATATAAATACATAGCAATCATTTCATTACTAGCGTTGCCAAGTTAATAAAACCCTTACTTTGTTCTGGGATCTAATGCTAGTCCTCTTGGATTTGTTACGTTTTTGCTAATCAGCACGGTCCTGTGACTCCCGTCAATTTTTGAGACTTCAATTGTTTCCAGAATATAATCTGTCCAATAAAGATTACGACCTATCCAGTCCACTGCAATACTTTCAGTAACAAACATGCCACTGTCATGGATCTAAAAACAGAAGGAAAATCAAAGGTGAATACTAAAGAGTACAGTGAGTGAAAATATAGAAATCATATGAAAATCTAAAGAAAGCATACAACATGTTCTATGACAGCTGTTGTCTACATAGCTAACCAGTAAATTAACTGTATGATTTTCTGAGGGAAAATATACAAGATTTTCTAACACTGACTATGATAAGATAACTCTATTATTCAATTAGTGGGAATTCTATAATAACTCTAATATTCCATTAGCTCCATTTTGATTTCCAAAGTTGTTGCACTTACACTATCTAAGAACTCTACCCATTTGCTAAACTGGCAACCTTATGATCCTTTATAATGTTCCTATGCCAAGAGCAGTTTCTCTATTGATTAAGTGCCAACAAAAATAAAGTCCTGAGGGGCAGATGAAACATAACTGTCAGGAGAAACTCTTGGAAATGGATTGAGATATTTAACTAAATTAAAGTGAAGAAAAAATAATCCCTCGGACTCTCTCATAGTTTCCTGTGCTCACACTCACAAAAGAATGGAAAAGGAACCTAAGAGACATGAAAAGTCTCTGAACCATGTGACAGTATGGAATCATGGACAGTCCATCTCTAAAAGTCCACACTCTAATCTAAGTACCCACAGATAGGAGTCATAAACATCCAGACCTCATGATAAGTGTGTTAAGCTTCAGAAAATACTCTTGGCATGGCTCAGCTGTACAGTATCTGACTAGCGAGCACAAGGCCTTGAGTTCAATCCCAGAAAGGACTCTAAGAACTGTCAAGGGTGAGGAAGGTCAGACCTTCATGAACAGCAGCAAAACAGACTTAAGATAGGGAGCTACATATACCAAAGGTGTACAGAAAACAGACTTACCACTATTCTGTCTGTTCCATTTTGAAATGCACTCCAGGCCTTGCCCTGCCGTAAGTCAGACCAAAAGATCCGACCACTGACTGAATCAAAATCAATAGCTACAATGTAAGAACCATCCTGTATCAATGAATAAATATTGTGGACCTGGGAGGTGATGTTGTCAGCAATAACTTTGTTCAGACTTGACACAAGTAACAGCAGACTTTCAGATGCTGTCCAAGGGGAAAAAAAAGGCAAAAGTGTCAATGATACTGGGCAAACAAAACAAATCCAGGCTCTCTGAAACATCGTGTGATATTTTCGCTAACTTTTATGGTTCCAAACCACAGTAATGGGAGAGAAAGCCCTAATAAAAATTATTTAATCACATTATTCTTAACTTTAACAGTTAGATGATTTTAATAAGTATTTAAAACAAATTCTTTCTGAAATGTCTTCCTTGCCAGAATTATCTTTCAAAGGGTAAATACCAACATGAAGGGAGCTTAGCATCTTCCCTGTTCTGTATTTTTGTATTTTACTTATCTACTTTGCTAAAATGTAGACTTTTCTGTAATAGAAGTTATGTCTTAAATATTTTTTGCAGCAGAGATCATGTCTTAAAACTTTTTAGTTTTCCCTGAGGTACTTAGCTGCAACATAAAGTTCTAATTGCTTTCCTCTTTCCTCTTTTTCTTTGTAGCAGTAAGGCATGCAGCATAGTAGTTCTACCAAAGGCCACTCAGCTAGAATAGGGTCTCTGACTCCAATGAGCTTCTAGTGACCACATGACTAAGATCTGATCAGTAGGATGTGAGTAGAAATGATTTATCCACTTCCAAAATGCATCCTTAAAAGAAATCTGCTTGCTCTCCCTCTTTCCCTTTCCCTTTCTTACTTTCTGAAGAAGGAAAGATTGCAACAACAGCACTGGATCCTGGATGGAACCATGAAGGTAACAGTACCACACCCTGGGCTACCTACCCTCTGTGTAGCTATTTGTCCAATAAAGAAACTTGCTATCTTTATCCTCCTTTATTTGGCCACTTTAAAAACAGCCACATCAAAATTCCAATGCATAATATAATCACTTTCATAAACTGGAAACTGAATTCATTTTGGCTGAATTAATTCACTAAGTATCTTACTTAGTGAATTCACTAAGTATCTTACTTAGTGAATTAAACTTAAATATAATATAGAAATCAGAACTGGAGCTGTGCCTCAAGTAATACAACACAAGCTAAGAGTAAAAAAGCCAATGAAAGTATCCAGCCCTGAGTTTAAGAACCAGTATTGCAAAAATGTATATATGTAAATATATATTTATATATTTACAAATTTATGTACAGTTTTATCTTTTTAAATATTTTATAAAATTATATATACAATTGTCTTCAATGTATAATATCTCATATTATATTGTTTATTAGGAATAATATTGAAATCATTTAAAATAATATTTTAAAACATTCTGTTCCTTTAAATAATAAGTAAATCATCACCTTTCTGTAATTGTTTCAATTACTATTTTCCAAAGTCCATTAAGACTTTTGAGGTTTAAGATATTACATAATGTGTCCAGGATTCCAGTCTAACTCCTAGTGAATGCTAACACATACTCATAAATAGTAGATGATCATAAGCTCTGGGATGGGCTATTAAACTGGCAGTTGTTGATTCACCTTTAAGCTTAGCAATTAATTACCTATAACTTTGCAAGTCCTCCCATTATCTTCTAACATGTAGTCTTGATCACAAGAGCACCGGAAAGAACCTCTCATATTGTAACAGTGCTGGCTACAAAAGCCTGGAACGTCACATTCATTTATGTCTTCACATGTCTTAGTATCATTGGCAAGTTGGTATCCCAGTGGACATATGCATCTAGCCCCAAAAGGCCCTTGAACACACTGGTGAGTACAACCGCCATTGAAATTTGAGCAGCTGTCCTGGTCTAGAATAAAGATAATCACAAAGTGAAAAAGTCAATCATTTTTGCTTCGTTAATTCATTCTGATATAATATCTGTCATGTCCCATGCTACCTTCACTATGATGCTCAGATAAAAACTAAGGACCACAGTTGCTCAGATGAGCATGATGCACAGGATCTAGATCATTTGCTTCATCACAACTCTCCGATATAACTCCATTTGGTACAATAAGAGAATCTTGGAGAAAAACTGTGGCCATCAGTACACAAAATGATCACTGATAACACATGCAAAGAAAGCTAACTTGCTGACAGTCTTCTACTTATGTAAAAATGAAGGACAGGACTTAAATGTGTGAAAGAAAGAGTGAAATGGCTAGGAATGAGAACACAGGGAAAAGAAAAGTACTTGGAATAATCAAGGGCACAGATCCACTAACATTCCTTATACCTGGGGACAAAGTAGCAACAATCAAAGCCACCCAAGGACAGGTTTCAGGCCTGGGATGCAAGTACCTTCTGTTGCTGTGAGTAGCTTAACAGTCACAACACATAGCATGCACTAGAAGGGGAAGTTGTGACCATCAGGACACTTTTAGCACAAACACAACACATGAAATCATAAGAATCTAAATACTTTACAATCATACCTGGCTGCAGTTCATCTGAGAGTGAACATTGATTAAGGAGGAAAGAAAGAAAGGACAGTAATTAGGATCACATGCCAATCACAGCATTTTAATCACAGCAAACACAAATCCCCAGACTTCATTTATTTTGTGGCAATTTCTGATTGAAATTACAAAGTTTTAAAGCTAGAAAACTTCACGAGCTTATTACCAACAGAACCCAAATAATTTGACCTTCTAAAAAGCCTAATTTGACCTCATTTTTCTACACAATGACATATAATGAAGGAAAAATACATAGCCAAGTGCAAAGGATTTAATGAGAAATATTGTCCATTGATGGTTTACTTAAATTCAATTCTCTTTACCCCTAACAGATTTAAAGTCGCAGAGGAACTAAGATCCCTTCCTAAAAAGCTTCCTGGGGATTGTGACAGGGGACACAGGGCACACAAGGCTGCTGCTCAGAATGAATTTGTGGCCAGTAAGGTGTAGTCAGAAAACTTACTGCAAAGTGGGGACTCATCTGTCCCATTGGGGCAGTCAAAGACGCCATCACACAGAGCACTCAGATTCACACAGATGCTATAGCCAGGGCACTGCCACTGCCAACTGGGACAGCGAAAGGGTGGAGGAGGACAGTCCTTCTCATCACTCATATCCCTGCAGTCATTGTCCCCATCACAGATCCACTCTTTGAAGATACAGTTCCCGTTGTCACAGCGGAACTGAGATGCAGAGCAAGTCTTAGGGACACAGCCATGGTGCTCATCCGACCCGTCGATGCAGTCTGAATGTCCATCACACTCCCAAGTGTTCGGGATGCACACACCATCACCTTGGCACTGAAACTCGTCGGGGTGGCACATACCAGGGGGCCTGGTTGCTAGAAGGAAAGAAGCACAGGAAAAGTAGCCATTTATAATCCTTTGTCTAGTCTAGAAATCAGAGAAAATTACTTTGGATCAAAAATTGATAGGGCTGTGTGTGTGGGGTGTGTGTGTGTGTGTGTGGGTGTGGGTGTGTGGGTGTGGGTGTGGGTGTGGTGTTTACTGTATTTGGACTTGAACTCAAGGGTCTGGACACCATCCCTTAGCCTTTTCACTCAAGGCTGATGCTCCACTACTTGAACTACAGCTACACTTGTAGCTTTTTGGTGGTCAATTAGAGATAAAAAATATCAGACTTTCCTACCCAGATTGTTTTTGAACCTGGATCCTCAGATCTCAGCCTCCTGAGTAACTAGAATTGCAGGTCATCAGCCCCCAGCTTCAACAGTAGGTTTAGAATAATGACTATGACAAAATTAACGTTAAAGATTAACATGCTATAGAGTCTTCCACACTGTGGTACACAGAAATAGTTCTATATGTGAGATTCGTGGATATGACTACAAAAAGTACAGAATACATAACTCTTTCAAAGAATATAAGATCCTGAGTCAAACTACTTCCTACATGTCTAATATTTGTTCAACTGCAGATTTTATATAACAGAATTTATCAATCTCTCTATGAGAATCATCATTGAATTTCTGCAATCCTTTTTTTGCTGTTTTGTTGTTGTTGTTTTGCTGCTGCTCGACTCAGAGCCTGGGTAATGTCCCTAAGCCTCTTTGAGCTCAAGGCTAGCACTCCACCAGTTGAGCCACAGTGCCACTTCCAAGTTTTTCTGAGAACTTTATGGGAGATAAGAGTCTCATGGACTTTCCTGCCTGGGCTGGCTTCAAACTACCATCCTCAAATCTCATCCTCCTGAGTAGCTAGGATTACAGGTGTGAGCCACTAGCCCCAGCTCCTTTTGCTCATGGTTGGCCCTCCACCATGAACTTTCTCCAGTTCCCTAATTCTTTATTTTTATTGTTAAATGTCTCAATTGAGATTCAAAAGAAGTCAATCACACATCTTGATATGCAGCAAAGCCTTAAAAGTTTGAAACCTACTAATCTGGAATGTCCTAAGAAAAATGAAAAGTGAGACTAAAAATGCCTAAAACATGTTTTAACCCACCTAAGATATTATTTGAAGGACACATGTATACAAATACTTGATTTGCCAATTGCAAAATATCTGGTAATTCCTAGATTACACACACACACACACACACACACACACACGTACTGGATTCTTTTAAGAATACTTTGTAATTCAGGATGTCTTTCCCCCATTTTGACAGAGCAGTGATAGCAACAATAGTTTAAAAGAAAAGAAAAGGAAGAAATGATCCCTTGGTGTGAAATTAGCTGGTACATAGTACTTACGACAGCCAGTTTCATCAGAGTTGTCTGCACAATCAAAAACACCATCACAACGATAGCTCTTGGTAATACATTCACTCCCATCAGCACACTTGAACTGTAAACTGGTGCAGTTTAATACTAAGGATGAAAGAGAAGATCATTAGAAATTAGATCAGGGTTAAAATGACTAGATTCTTCTAAGAGGCAAAAAAAAAGTAAATAAATAAAAGCAATCCACTTACCACAACCAATCTCATCAGATCCATCTACACAGTCTTTGTCCCCATCACAAACATAATATGGGTCAATACACCGATGGTCAGGGCAACGAAACTGACTAGGCTGGCAAGTCTGTGAGCTTTCTAATGGTATTAGAAAAATAAAGCCAAGTTAAGTTCACTTCCTGCTCAATAGATATCAAACCAAAAATATACCCAGGAAGTAGCTACCTAAGTTATCTTAGTTTTACATATGTCCAAAATTCCTTCAAATCAGCAATAATGTCAGTCAGCCCACCAAGAGATCTGAAAATTTAGAGAATTTGGGAAATCAAAAATGAAACAATGAAAGGAAAGAGTCCAAAAATGTGATTACAGTCAAAAGAAGACAGTAAAACAGAAGATAGTCAAAATGAGTACCATATATTTGGGCTGGCACTACAGCTCACAAATACTCAGTAAGTCTATGACTCTAGACAAAAGCCAACCATCCAATGGAGGCCAACTAGGCAGTATGGTCAGCCCAACCCACAAGCCCACAGCAACAGTGTGTAGACAGCTCACATTGACAGTTCACCCCAAAGTCTAAACAGAACAATTCTAAAACCCAGAGACCTACTAAGTAAGGCACAGCCTTCAAGTCAGATGTGCTGGATCCAAGTCACAAAATGAAGTGATTATTTAAGACGCATGGAATTCAAAATTTAGAAGTGATTTATTTCGAAGCCTATTGACTTTAAAAGAAAATTGACTTGATTAGTCATTAGCTAGTCATTAACAACTAGAATTTAGTCCAGAGAACTCTGATGTACCTTAAATTACTATTTAAGACATGGAGAATATTAATAACCTAATGACAACTAGGAATATAAAAGGCATCTATGTAAAAATATTAGAAATTTCAAGCCAGGTGTGGTGGTGCACATATGTTCATATGGTATTTTTGAAATTGTTCTAAATATCTGAATTAGTAATTGGGGGATTATGTTTTTCTCCAAGCCTGAGTTCAAGCAATTCTCCTGTGTCAGCTTTAGCCTTCCAGGCAGTTGAGACAAGTACACACCACGGAGCCTAGTTCTAGGTCTTTTTTTTTTTTTTTTAGTTCCTATCAGAACGTGTGTCATCAGAGACAGTCTTGTTTTGCTTAAATAAAACTCAGTATCTGTAGGAGAACTCAAAGCCTCCCATGTGCAGATACATGTCTGTGGATACAGAGATTGACAAGCATGACAACAGAAGTGTCTACAATGTGTGAGGCTCAGTGGAACGAGTACAGATCTATTGACAGTGCAAATGGATTACTAGGCTTACCGAGAAATCCATTCCAAACTTACCACAGTTCTTTTCATCAGATCCATCCCCACAATCATTGTCTGTGTCACAGAGCCAGCTTCTTGAGATACAGTGGTTATTATCACAAGTGAAGTAGGACTGAGGACAGACGGTGGGTGCATATGTGGGGCAGTTCTGCTCGTCACTGCCATCTGCACAGTCATTGTGTCTGTCGCAGCGCCAGCGTCCAGGGATGCACTGTCCTCCGTGGGCACAGGTGAATGCCAAAGATGAACAGGTGTTATCTACAATAGCCACAAACTGGTCATGAAGACATTTTGTTGTTACTGCCATTTAAATCAGTTGTCACCTTCTAAAGGCCAAGTTATGTTTTAGTGGAACATTACACAAATAAGGAGAAATGTGTATCCTGTCATGACTACCACCATCATCATAAAATATTTATTTAGTATTTATCATATACCAAATGCCTTTTGGTTTGGTCTGGTGGTCAGTCCTGGGGCTTAAACTCAGGTCCTGGTTGCTGTCCTTGAAGGGTTTTGGGTTTTTTTGTTTTTTATGTTTTGTTTTTTGTTTTTTTCTTAAAGCTAGTGCTCTAGCACCTGAGCCACAGCTTCACATTCAGCTTTTTGGTAGTTAACTGGAGATAAAAGGGCCATGGACTTTCCTTTTTTTGGGGGGGGAGGTGGAGTGGGGGTCCGGTTGTGGGGCCTGAACTCTGGGCCTGGGTGCTGTCCCTCAGCTCTTCAGCTCAAGGCTAGTGACTACCACTTGAGCCACAACGCCACTTCCGGCTTTTTGCTTTTTGCTTATGTGGTGCTGAGGAATTGAACCCAGGGCCTCAGGCATGCAAGGCAAGCACTCTACCACTGAGCCAGCTTCCCAGCCCCCAGGGGCTTTCCTGACTGGACTGGCTTTGAACCCCTGATCCTCAGATCTCAGCCTCCTGTGTAGGTAGGATTACATGTGTGAGCCACTAGTGCCTGATCCAAACACTTTTTGAAATACTCTATGTACTTTTTTTTTAAGACAGTGTCTTCATATGTAGCCCAAGCTGGGTTTTGGCTCATCTTCAAGGATTACAAACCGAGTACTGTATACATACACATTTATGTGGCTCTATATCTACATCCCCAGCCCTGTCACTCTTCTGTTTCTCCAAAAAGGCAGGTTATTGTTACTTCTATTCTATCCTCTCGATCATCCTGTATCTTTTTTGTATCTTGTATTTTTTTTAACTTTATCAGAATACTTACCCCTTCTGCAATAGCTTTAAATTAAGCCTCAAACCTCATAGCTCAGATTAATATGAAGAACATAAAAATGGATTTCACAGGCTGGGAAGGTAGCTCAGTGGTAGAGTGCTTGACTTGCATGCATGAGGCCCTGGGTTCAATTCCTCAGCACCATATAAGCAGAAAAAGCTGCAAGTGGCGTGTGGCTCAAATGATAGAGTGCTAGCCTTGAGCTGAAGAGCTAAGGGACAGCTCCCAGGTCCCCACGACCGACAAAAAAAAAAAAATTTCAGTATTTAATTTACTCCAAAAAGGGGAAGGAAGGAGCACAACCCAAGAGACTTTCCAAGTCTGTGATTGTAAACACTCGTTCCAATCCATTTATTTGGTTTCAGCTTTTTCTTTTTCAGTACTAGACATCAAACCAAAGCCTCCTGCCTGCCAAGCAAATGCTGAATCCCCTAGCTCTATTCTCAGCCCTCATTTAACTTTTTTGAAAAATGTAATCAAAATGCAATGACTCTGCATTAATCTAAACTGTTCATGTCTAAAGAAATTTCATGCAAGATACACATCACCTCTAACATTACCTAGGAGTAGTGTTTATGACTTAGTTTCCTAAAAGACTTCATAGTACATGTTAGAAGGCTGATATTCTTTTTTAAAAATGTTAAAGCTATTTTTCCAATCCACATATCCCAAGCTTCTATATGTGTAATCTTACTCCAGGAAGAAATATCCATGGCACAGCTACTTACTAAATGCACCACACAGACGCTCATCACTGTTGTCATGACAGTCATCGACTCCATCACAGCGGTAAAAGTTCGGTACACATTTGCCATTGTCACATGCAAAGGAAAAGGAGCCACATTGCTCTGTGGGTGGTTCGTGAACTGGGTCTTCCTCACATGTCTGCTGATTGGACGTGAGCTTCATCCCATAGGGGCAGCCACACACCCGCTGGAAGTTTGGCACTGGGAAGCAGAAGTGACTGCAGTCGCCGTTGGGGAGAGTGGGCTGACTGCAGAAGTTCGACCCTGCCAAGGCAAAGCCAGAGATTAGTCAGCATGTTCCCCGTTATATGATCCCAGGTTTGAATAAAGTATGTTTTCCAGCCCCGATATTAAGAAGTACCAAGAAGCTGAGTACCAGTGGCTCATGAGCTGGTAGCTCATACCTATAATCCTGACTACTCAGGAGGCTAAGCTCTGAAGAGCCTAGTTCTAGGTAGCCAGAACAGACATATCTGAGACCTTTAGTCCAATTAATCAGCAAAAAGTGGGAAGTGGAAGTGTGGCTCCAGTGGTAGAGTGCCATCCATGAGTGAAAAAGCCCACCAAGAGCTCAGTCTCTGAGTCCAAATCCCAGTACCAGGAACAATAACCAAAAAAAGAAGTATCAATCAACCTCTTGGAAATCAGCCTAACAAACAGAACAGTCAAGTACAGTAAAGTGCTAAAAAATAAAAAAAAAAAAGGTGTCTTTCTCAACACCTTTAGAGTCAGCACAGCTGAATAAAGATGTGACATCTCATAATGTCAAACAACATGGATGACAGAATCAAATGACACCATCAAATGCTGTGGTACCTAAGTGGTTGTAAGAGAAAGCAGTCACCATACCAAGTACACACCTCCATTTGCTGAAATAAACCTCAACAAAGTCACTCACCAGTCTGGATGTCAGTGTCATATGATTTCACGTGCATGATGTTGGTGATGCCATTTCGAATAACGGTCATGCCTCCCCCATCTGATTTCCTGACTTGAACAATAGCACCCAGCCTCCAGTCGGTGAAGAACACAGAATCTAAGAAGAAACCAGAGCAGTTAGTGTTTTCAGTTATAGCTTCCTCACAAAGAAACTACATGAGGAAATGAAATAGACTGTTAATGGTTCCTGCAAGGCTGAGGAATCTTCTCCTACAAACATCTGTTACTGGTTTCTGGGACCATTTTCCATGACTAGTATCACTCACAATGCTCCTAGAAACCTGGATTTTACTAATATCGTGGCTCAATTTCAAGCAAACATATGGTTTATGGTGGCATTTAGTAGTAATTAGGTTACATTTTCCATAAGTAAAAATAAAATTAAAAGTTTCAGTATTCTATAGTGCAGGCCTCAGAAGACAGCTCTTATCCCAGCTAAAGCACAAATTTGATGAAAGCTCTTAGGCAAATACCTCACTGTGTTAAGAAAATGAACCATATCATCTCTAAAATCTTTTTCAAGCCCATAATCCATAACCATAACCTGTATCTTCAGGAAGATGGGTTTTTTTTTTAATATGTCAGTACTGGGGGGCTTGAGCTTGAGACTCTGTGTTCATGCTTGGCTTTTCCACTCAAGGCTATCCCTCTACCATTTGAGACATAGCTCTACTTCCAGCTTTTAGTTGGTTAACTAGAGGTAAGCCAGGCTGCCTTTGAATCATGATCCTCAGATCTCAATCTCCTGAGTAGCTAGGATTAGAGGTGTGAGCTACACACATCCATGATTATCATTTTTGAAATAACCTGCATAATGTCAATTTATATGCATATATGGGACTGATAGTCAACTTCAATAAATCACTGTCAAGAAAATAAAACATAATCTAGTCAAAAAAAAAACTTTTGGTGTATGTTTGGTAAATTATAAAAATATCAGTACAAGTTTGCATATGCCTACACCATACCAGTGTTCCATGGTGCTCAGAACAATAAAGAGAGGCAAAGTAAGATTCTGCACAGAAAAAAAATAATTGTTTAGTTTATACGAACTAAAAAATGCAAAAAAGTAAAGATCATTTCAACGATCTTCAAAAGAAAGAATTGAATCAAAGTGGATCTTTGAGCCTAGCCCAGTAGGCTTAGATAGGTAGGAGTACCTTGAATTTCAGGTCAACCCCCAATAAAGACTTGACACACTCAAAGGAAGGAAGGAAAGGAGGAAAGGAGGCAGGGAGGGAGGGAGGGAGGGAGAGAGAAAGAGAGAGAGAGGAAGGAGGAAGGAGGAAGGAAGTAAGAAGAGAAAGGAAAGAAAAGAAAAAGGACCTTCTCTTTGTATAACTGGAAATTCCAGCTAACCAGATAATGCCTACATAGTTATAAATGTTATCATTAGACCAAGTTTCCTTATCTATGGTTTAATCCATGACTAGTGGGTCACTGAACTCACTAAAGCTTATCTCTACTGTCAGTTAAGAGTCCAGTCATTCAGTAAGCTATCTGATAATAGATAAGAGGTCCAATCCAACTTTTACTAGTGTGCTGTGTATAGTGAAGAAGTTCTAGTCTTTGGACAAAACGTTACATAATTCCTATGAAATTATATAATGCACAATAAGAAATGTATAATGAGGCTGGGAATGGTAATGGAGGGCTATAATCTAACACTGAAAGCTGAAGCAGAATGATTGCAAATTTAAGCCAGCCTGGGTACACAGCAAGTTCTAGGCTAACCTGAGAAAGAGAAGGAAAGGAAATGGAAAGAGTAAGGGAAAAGAAAATGGAAAGGAGAGAGGAAAGGAGGAAGGGAAGAAAACAAGGAAGGCAGGAAGGAGAGAAGGATAGAGAGAAGAGATCACTAACCCTCCATGGTTACCAGAAACTAATAATTGGGTATGTTGTGTTGTGCACTCAAATTCTTTTTCTTACTGATGAAAATAAAAGATACTAAAACTGTATTTTTATACAGTAGGCTTGTGCCTACCATCCTAAGAAAGAAGAGTAATGTATTGGAGTGGATACTGTTTTATAATTGATTCAGCTCATCAAAAATTTCACAAGACCATTTAAAAATGTTTTGAATAGGGGCTGGGAAGGTGGCTCAGTGGTAGAGTGCTTGCCTTGCATGCATGAGGCCCTGGGTTCGATTCCTCAGCACCAAATAAGCAAAAAGAAAAAAAGCCAAAAATGGCGCTGTGGCTCAAGTGGTAGAGCGCTCGCCTTGAGCTGAAGAGCTGAGGGACAGCACCCAGACCCAGAGTTCAGGCCCCATGACCGGGCCCCCCCCAAAAAAAGAGAAAAGAAGTAGGGCATTAGCCATGAGTGAAAAATGTTTTAAATATTACTCCAGACAAATGGATATCAGGAAGGAATATGAACATATTTATTATTTAATCTCTACTCCATGTGTGAAAGAACATCTTGATTTATAGTTAATGTCTACTTTTATAAGACACTATGCTTATTATTGAAAGTAGCAAGTTTCAACCAGAAACACAGAACATATATATATGGCCTCCAAAAGCTTCCAACAAAATCTCACCCCTCAAATTAAGCTTGTCACACACAACCAGGGTAGAGTTCATCCCTCCTTACTCTCTTGGACTAGCACTTCTGTGCAGTGAACACCCTACATAACCAGTCATAGAGCCATTTTCAAGACTAAATGAGCCACCTGTTTCATGATGCCAGGTCACATTCTTATTCCCAGAAATCTTGCTCATAGAAGCATGCCTATGCATGACAAGGGAGTTGATAGTGGCTCATGCCTATAATCCTAGCTACTCAGGAGAACTTCACAATGAATTCAAAAGGACTGCAATTTGAGACCAGCCTGGGAAAAATGGTAGAGAGACCCTAGCAAATGTGTGGTGGTTCACATCGAATACCAGCTAGAGGCATACATAAGAGGATCATAATCTGAGGCCAGTCCAGGCAAAAACTTAAGTTTCAATTGGAAAAATAACTAAAAACAAAAAAGGGGTAAGTGTGTGGCTCAAGTGACAGAGTGCCATCCTAGCTAGTATGCGTCCTTTAATTCAAACCCTAGTCTTGCCCCTCCCCAAAAAAGGGTACTGGGAGAAGACAAGAGTTTGGGCTGTAAGTGTGGTTGCACTTTCCCATAATTCCATGCTTCCAGGTAATCTTTACTAGTAACATGAAGACTATTTGGCAGAATTGCTTAAGAAACAACGTGTTTCCGTTTTTCATAAATTTCCTCCTGGTCTGGGGCTATAGCTCAGTGCTGGAGATTTAACTCAGTGGAACAATGCTTGAGATCCTTGTTCAATCTCCACTGCCAGAAAACTTTTAAATAAATTTTTTTTTTTTTAATTTGGAGCCTATAGTTTCTCTGTAACAGTGATGTCAGTTACCCAACATTCTTATTAAAAAGCTTCCGTCCAATGAGAATACAGTTGGTACAAATATGCAATCACCTTTCCACAAGGATTTTCAGGATGTTTTTAAAACATCAGAAAACAACACAATTTTACAAGTTACTATAAACAGCTCTTACTATATTAGTCTGAAAAATAATGAAGGCAAAACCTTACAGAAAATAATATTTCCTGTGTCATACCAAGTAGACACTCAGAAACTGTATGAGTGAAATGTGTAAAGTGATGCACCCATAAAAGCTGTCAACATTATCTAAATGTATCCAAAACAACATACTCTAAAAGTGAATTTTTCCATCAACAAACCAAATGTTATATCTATGTAGATTATAGCACTACTGTGGGTTTTCTGAGGTTTTAGTAACAAGCTTTTTCAGAACTGCGACAATACCAAATGGTGATACTCTTACAACTGACAAAGCACAGGACCTTACATTCTTTGCATTCATTCAAAGCATACCTTTAAAGATGGTGATTCCAAATGGGTGTGTCATCTGTTCTATATGGCCCAGTCGTCTTCTGTCTAACCCAGCAAAGGTGCTGTGCTCAATTTTATCAAAAAAGGCATCAACCCAGTACAATCGTGAAGCTCTAGAATAATCAAATAATTCATGTTGTTATCCAGAAGATGGTCAAGTCCCTGCATGCCACTACATTTAAATTCTGTGGGCTCATTTAGAATGTTTACACAAGGCCTTAAAACTTGTTATATTCATTGAAAGTTTGAGTTTTATTTCTCCCAGAAAAACAGCCTTCATCAAATGCCTTTCAATTAATTGTCTCAAACTTGTTACATTGCTACCTTGGAGTGAGGAATGTTAAAGTTTCATTTGCCTTGAGAAACCAACAAATTAAGAAAAATATTGGTGTATCATGATGTATGTTTACAAGGTTGGATAAATTTCTTCTCTTATCTCTCCCACGAATTAATCTGGTATTTCCTATATCTAAGGTTATTTATCTTATTTAATTTCTGTATTTTAAAATAGATTATCAGTGCATGAGAACTGTACTTATGCTTAAAAACAATTTTTCCGGGCTGGAAAGGTGGCTCAGTGATAGAGTGTTTTCCTTGCATGCCCGAGGCCCTGGGTTCGATTCCTCAGCACCACATAAGCAAAAAAGAAAAAAGCCAGAAGTGGCACTGTGGCTCAAGTGGTAGAGCGCTAGCCTTGAGTTGAAGAGCTGAGGGACAGCGTCCAGGCCCAGAGTTCAGGCCCCACAACCGGACCCAAAAAACAAAACAAAACAAAACAAAAAAACAATTTTTCCCCAAGTGCATATAAACAAATGTACATTTGTTGACTGAGCATCTCCAGAATTCCCTCTTCTTAAGATGCCCCAGAAGGAAATACACAACTCCTACATTTCAGCATATCCCTGTCGACTTTTAGTGGGCTTTGGGACTCCCTAACACCTTCTCTATCCTCCCGTCACTAAGTCCTGTCATTCTTCTGTTTCCAGCACCTTCCTCAGAGTATTTAAGACTACATTGGTTTGTGTTCCACCAGTAGCTAGGCAAATTATGTGTTCTTTGTGTTCTTACATCATTCAATATCCTTTTCCCATCACCAACTAGTTGATAAAAATTTCTAAGGGCTAGCTAGCATGTCACCATGTTATCCAGTGTGCCTCCTGTGTGTTGTACAGGAAGTGGGAAGTCAGTAATACAGGATGTCTTCAACTTACCCCCAATCAATGGCCAATGCATTGGGCCATCCAAGAGTAGTGTTGACTATAGGCATAAGGTGAGATCCATCGCCCCATGCTCTAAAAATTTTAGCAGGACGGAACCAATCACTGAAGAAGATGTATCTAGGAAAAGAGGCAATAAGTTGAAGATGTTTAACACTTGCACAAATTGCCTGGCTTGAAGGAATGGGGCACAAAGAGATGTTCTAGAAATTTGCTGCAATTAATTTCATTTTCTGTACAAGTGATGGGACTTGAAGTCTGCATAACTATCCAATTCTAAAAGTTTCAGACACTTGTTCTCAACATTACAAATATAAGTGACATTAAAATAAAGACCCAACGCAGAAAAAGAAAAAAAAAAAAACACGATGCTAAATTTTAGAACCTAAAATGATGGTAACCCAGCAATTCTTTGAAAAGACATTTGAGTTACTTTGGGGTATTGTTGGGCTTTGTTTTGTTTGTTGAGAGAGTCTCACTCTGACTCCTAGGCTAGCCTCAAGCCATCCATATAGCATATTTTCTTTCATAGGTGGAAACTAGAACTAATGTATAAATATACAAATAAACACAGACAAGGTTATATGCAAGTAAATGCAAATGCATTAACCAAAATATGGAATTTGCAGGGGAGAATTCAAACAATGTAATTTCTTAGAAAAACTAACTCACAGTCCAACAAAATGAAGAAACCAGTGCTTCAAAGATATGATGGGGAAGTCAAGCAGAGAGGGGAAGATGAATGAAGAGAAGAAATAAGAGAATGTAGTCATAATAGTCAATGCATATGCTAGGAAAATTGGGGGAAGGAGTGGAGTTGAAGGAGGGGGAAGAATGATTAGGATGGATTATACTTATAAACTGACTTGTTGAATGTGACTTCTTTGTACAACTACTTAAAGATAATAAAAATATAAGTTCAGGCTCTTCTAGGTCAATCTTTGCCTTTTTTTTATAAGGAACTTATAAAATCACAGGAAAACATTTCATTCTGGGTAATGAATGGAAACATCCATCACTGAAACATATCAACAGTAACCAATGCAACATTTACATTCTGAAGACTGACAAAAAGATACACATATTAAAAAAGAATCACCCTCTTCCCCCAAAAAGCCCTTTTCCTCTCTCATACAATCTTAGAAATCAAATTTTTTTAGTCTTTTCCAAAATGTGACTTTCAATAATGTGGCTTTTTTTTTTTTTTTTTTTTGCCAGTCCTGGGGCTTGAACTCAGGACTTGGCACTCTACCATTCTACCATTTGAGCTACAGCACCACTTCCAGCTTTTTATGTGATATTGAGGAATTGAACCCGGGGCTTTGTGCATGAGAGGCAAGCACACTACCACTGAGCCACCTTCCCAGCCCACTATGTGGCTATTTTATGGCATTGTAAATGAAAAAGTCATTAGGAATTTAACAGCTTTTGCAAAACCATGAGCTCAAGATTTAGGTTGAAATAAAGACATTAGAAAAATGAACAGATTAACTTTCTGGAGGGATCTAGGCTTTCTTAACAGTACTATTATTAAAGTCTGTTTCTTATATTATTTTTCAGGGAAAATAAAACTATAAAAATACTGAAATGAACAAAGGAGTTTGTTAAGCTCACAGCTGTATATGGACAGATCTGGAGTTTGAGTGCTAACTCCTGCCTAACAATAGAGCCCGCTGAAGTCATTTGATCTCACTGAGCCCCAGATTCACTGTCTTGATACTGGGTATCACACATACCCTTTCATTTCTGTATTGATGAGTAATGTGTTCCCAGCTCACTATGTGACAGGGCAGGCTACGTGAATCACCAGCCTTCTTCTTCATTATTCCATTCTATGCAACTGCCTATCTCAGACTTGTTCTACACAAACCTATTAGCCATTGAACATACTTCAATTAAGAAAGTTAAGAGCCAAAAAGAATACTGTAGGCTAGTATGTGCTTTCTGGTCTTTCAGCGCCAAGTATAACACAAAATGGTGCAACTGTGATCTGGAAATCTTCATTCTGGGGATTACTGAATGACTAAGCAGGTTTTACAAAGCTTCATAAGCAATGCATTAGAACAGGGCAGGAATCTGAGCCTTTCTAGATAATTCTGCATTCAGTTTAGTTGCTCCTCCTCCTCCAAACTCTATCACTTTGCTTGGTCCTCTGCAATTATGGAAAAGTTACACTTCAGCAACCAGGAAAGCTGTAACTTAGAAGAACCGTTTTTGAAAGAAATAACGTGGTTGCCTAAGTTTACACAAAAGGGATAAAATTGAAGGTGGTTGCAAGTCAGTTCATTCTATTTGTTAAACCTGACAGATCTTTGTGGTACATTTCCATGACAGTAAAACAAATCAGTTCCAGGATCTTAGGACATCATAAACACACTTACCCAGCAGAAGGATGGACCACAATTGATCGTGGATTGTTTAAATTCTTCACTATTTCACGTCTGAATGTATCAGCCAGCCTCATGACACTGACGCTGTGGTGCGAGGAGTCTGTCCAGTACAGATTCCTTGAAATCCAGTCAAAACTCAAACTTTCAACATTTTCTACCCTGTTAGCTAGGAGAATCTCTCTTCCTATAAGTAAAAAAAATATTAAACTCAGCGTATTACATAAGATAGGAATTTTTTCTCTACTGCTGAATATTTAAATGTTGCATTAAAGTCAGGACACAGTGCAGGAACACATGTGGAAGAGTTAAATTTTAAATTAAAACATTTTGAAGCAACAGCAGGAGATAAGCTTTGGCTATATCTATTCTCTAAAGTCTAGATCTCAAAGACTAGTTATGACACTGATAAACAGAACCAGGAGGGCTGTGGTCTGGAGTTACTCCCTTGTTCATCCTTCCAAGAAAAAAATTTCATATTGCAGAACATCTGAAAAAAAAAAGATACCTGAGTTCACCTACTACCACCCAGAACGCTCTGAGGAGCTGACACTGCCAGGTACAACCAGGGCTAACCTGAGGCATTACTGCCCAGCCCTCCCAACTACTTTCAACACTTCAGCCACAAAGTTGCCAAGACTGGAGAAGAGCAGCAACGATGCCAAAAAGAAAATCAGTACTGGGTACAGGAGAAAAAGACCATTTTCCTGCCTGGGAAATGCTATGTCCCTTCCCTCTCACCTCCTTGTCTTCTCTCCTCTCCTCTTCCTCCCCCTCCCCCTCTCTCTCTCTCAGACTCTCTTTTTCTCTTCCTCTCTCTCATTCTTTCTCTCTCCTCTTTCTCTGCCTCTCCCTTTGCTTCTCTCTGTCCATCCTCACCTCTCTCCTGTCTCTTTTCTGTCTCTCCTTCCCTCCTTCCTTTTCTCCTCCTCCTCTTCCTTCTCTTTCTTCTTCCTCTTTTTATCAACAAAATCTCAGTCACAATAAGCAAACATATCGCCTTACTTTGCAATAGTAAAAACAAGAACTCCTATTTTCTCCCCAGAAAATTGTAAAAAGAGTCCTCTGTGGTCTAGACTACCTATTAGCTGTTGATGCAACATGATGCTGATAATAATAAAAAGGTCATAGCAAGTCAGGCACTGGTGGCTCATGCCTGTAACCCTAGCTACTCAGGAGCCTAAGATCTGAGAATCGTGGTGCAAAGCCAGCCTGGGCAGCAAAGTCCTATGAAACTCTTATCTCCAATTATCTACTCAAAAACTGGAAGTGGCTCTGTGGCTCAAGTGGTAGAGCACTAGCCTTGAGCACAAAGAGGCTCAGGGACAGCATCCAGGCCCTGAGTTCAAGCCCTACAACAAACAACAAAAAAAATATCCATAGGATTGAGCACTTACTAGGAGCCAGACACTAGGACAGGAACTTTACATGCATTCATTCATCCATCCTCTTAACACCACTCGATCAAGCCAAGACACATTGATAATGTGTCTATTTTATAGATGTCCCAGGGAAGTGAAGCATTTGTAAAGAAGTATAGGCACTTCCCTGCAGTGATTAATAATGTTGAAGTAAGAGAAGAGGAAGCAATTAGGCCCAGAGACAAAAAGAAACAAGTGGAATGACAGCAAAGGGCAATGTAGAAGTAGAGAGGTCCCCCCCCCAAAAAAATGAGGAGTCAGGGGCTAGAGAGTAGCAAAGACTTGCAAGTGGGAGGGTATGAGACTTGAGGCACAAATGCTCTGGACATGGCTGGAGATGGAGTTAAGGACAGGGAGAAGGGTGTACTTTGGTTCACAGGATGTAAGGAGGTAGGAGAAGGTGAATGGTGTTCTTTCTCTGAGACAGGGAGATCTGTGAGGACTGTAAGTTTTGAGGTGTTAGCAGGATGCCCAGGATGCCAGGATGCCCAAAGACAATTAGCACTATAGATTGTTCTTAATCTCAAAGAGAGAACTTGATAATGATCCTCATCATCACACAAGAGAAGCTTGCCTTGCTCTGTCCCTCACTTTCCAGGTTAGGAAGAAAACATCCAGTAAAAGTCTTAAAAGTCTCCCCATGATGACTTATAGCTCCTAGAAAGATGGCAATCAAAGTCATGAAAGTGCTGGGCGCAGGTGGCTCATGCCTGTAATCCTAGCTACTCAGGAGGCTGAGATCTGAGGATTGTGGTTCAAAGCCAGCTGGGGCAGGAAAGTCCCCATGAGATTCTTATCTCCAATTAACCACTCAAAAACTGGAAGTGGAACTGTGGCTCTAAGTAGTAGCGCACTAGCCTTGAGCAAAAGTGCTCAGGGACAGCCGGCACCCAGGCCCTGAATTCAAGTCTCACAACTGACGGGGGGGCGGGGGGGGGGGGAAGCGTTATGAAATTATGCAGAAAAAGACTAATGTGGGGTGGCAGAGATCACAGTTATTTATGGATTATAGTCATTATAAGGAACACAATATAGAAGGAAACACAAGAGTGTGTCATCATAAGAGAGAATGTTTTATTAGACCAAAGAGCCAAAGATAAGAAAAGCATTTCTTTAGCAACAAACAGCTAACTGCCATGAGAGAGTTCCGGAACTGTGATATAGTGGGCGAATCAGAGGTGAGAAATCAGTAGAAGGTAGAAGAAGGGCCTGAAAAGATGGTTGGCCATGAAGAAAGAGGACTGGAGCAGAGGGGAGCATAGAGCTGTGTGTTCTTAAAATGAAAGAGACTTCATGATACCTGATAAGAAGTAGCCTAGGAAGTAAGGAAAAAAGAAGGTATAGAGGAAGAAGGATAATGGATAGAGAGAATTCCCTCACAGGCTTCATTCAACCCATCTTGACTTTAATTGATTTCTGGCTCATTGTCTGCCTATATCCATTGAAAAATCTTCTCTCTTAAAATATAGAGCAATTACAATATTGCTTAACATACTTGAAGTTGATTTTTAAAATATAGTAAATGCATGAGGTCCTGAATGCTGGGGACTGATCCCCAGCACTTTTTTTCCACGTGGAAAAAGAAGGAAGAAAAAAATTTAAAAACCCTATGGTGATAATTCCAAATCAGCAGATCAACAAAGCAAAGCAGGACAACATAGAGAAGAGGTTCAGAAACTCAAGGCTGTCTTTTGCTTAGAGCTCAGCTAAAGAGTTCTCTGAGCTGCAGACTAGATCAGTTCTAGTTCAAAATATCAATTTGAACATATGTTTATCCCTACTAGGTGATACTACAAGAATGGCAACTGAGATATTTTCATAAAAGTTTTCCAGCTAGCATTATTCTAGGGATAGCCTAGAATTTTCTCACCAACTCTATGAACAATGGCATATCTAGCATTACTCCTGTTACTTATCTGTTTAGGAAACTGAGGTGTGAAGAGGCATAAAGAGACCTTAAATATTTTTCCTATTGGTTATACAGATAGACAATGCAGAGAACCAGAGTTTAAACACAGATAGTCATCCACCCTCTTAGTGACTCTATTATATTGATATATTGCTATATAGACAGCTATTTCCAAATTGCAGATTTCAATCCACTAGTTGGTATAAAATCAACAAATCATGCATCATTCAAGTAAAGTGATTGGCCATAACATATCTACCTGCAATGATGATGAAGATCTTACCAGAATTCCAAACAACTAAAAACTGAGTGATATATTCAAATTTACCTAAAATTCATTTCTTTTTTAATATTTTATTATCTTTAAGGGTTGTACAAAGGAGTAGTCATTCAACAAAGCTGTTTATGAATTCAGAGTGTCATTCTTTTCAATATCTAAAATTCATAAGTTATTATTATTCCAAACTATTAGCATATAGATAGCCCACCGAATAAATTTTACTGCTTGAATATGAGCAGTTTCTAGTCAATTATCTATTAAGGACTTCCAGACACTTCATCTTCCTTTCATGTTAATTCTTGTCATCTCATTTACAGCATGTTTTGGAAATAGAGGAAGACACTGGTTTTAACTTGATTTGTTCTTTAAAAAATATATTTATTTTCCTGATCTCAAGGTATTTGCCAAGCTTCATAAGGGGATATTGTTTAAGGAGCAGATGCAAAATTATACTGAATGAATCTATTATCATTAGTAGTAGTAGTAGTAAAAATAGGCAAAATGTACATGCACACACAATTTTCTTACCTGTGCCATCAATCTTTTGCTTATATATTAAGTCTTTTGATGTATCTGAGAAAAAGATAGTTCTCTCCTGGGCATCAAAATCAATTCCAACAAAAAAGGAAAGGCTCCCAGTCACTGGAACCATGACGTCTTCCTGAACAGACTGCGTGAATGGGATTCCACGCACAGCCAGCTGGGAGGAAAAGATCAGGAAGTTCTTGACAGCTGCAAAGAAAGGGACATCACAGTCAGCCAGAGTGTATTTCTAGCCTCCCTAAGCTCCACAGAACTTTATATTTTGTGTAAGTCATAACTGGAAATAATGAATGGAAAAGAGAAAAGATAAGCAACCATGATGGTGACACAAGTATTCTAATCTCACTTTTTCCTAAGAAACACTTCCTTACAGAATATATATATACATGTACAATATATATATATATATATATATATATATACTTATATGTAAATGAAAGAGTTTTTTATGTAAACAGTGATTTCCAGGGATGGGGATATAGCTCAGTGGGAGAGTGTTGACCCACTCTGCATAAGCCCTTGGGCTCTATTATAGCACTGGAAAAACAAAATGTGAAAATAGAAAATAACTCAAAATTCAATCCTATGAAATTTGAATGCCATAGTTAACGTTTCAAGAAACAAAGAGAAAAAGAAGATCAAGAAAACTAGAAGCCAGGCACCAGGGGCTCACACTTGTAATCCTAGCTACTCAGGAGGCTGGGATCTAAGGATCAAAATTCTAAGCCACCCTGAGATTCTGATCACTAATTAATTAACCACCAGTAAGCAGAAGTGGAGCTATGGCTCAAATGGTAGAGCACAAGGCTTGAGGGAAAAAAACTAAAGGACAGAACCCAGGACCTGAATTCAAGCCCCAAAATTGGCACATATATTTCTGTGCTTGTGCTCGTGTATGCACACATGCGTATGCACACGCGCGCACGTGCACACACACACGCACACATACATGAACACACACAATCAAAATCCTCTAAACAAGCAATTTTAGGAAATTCCCAAAGACCAGATATTGACTTGGTCAAACACAGCTCTTTGTACAGAAAAAGTAGTGCCTATAAAACCAGATGCCATATGGGTTACAGAAAGCTCATTCTCAGTGAGCAAGGCAGAGGGGGAGCTGTTGTCAGGGTACAGGTGTGCATATATACCATACCCTACACTACCTACTTTAAAATTGTCATGGATATCTTACCCACACAGTGGCGCTCATCAGCGGCCAGCTCAAAACCAAATGTACACTTGCAACGGTAGCCCAGACCATCATTATCTGTTCTGTGGCTCAGGACACAGATCTGCTCACAGCCCCCATTGTTGACTTCACAGGGATTGCTAGCTGGAAGGGAAAATGCAGAGGGCTAAATCACAATTCAAAATGGATAAATGATGCACACCATGCAAGACCACGTGGGCTCTGCTGGTGAGAGATGGGGTTTCAATTCCATAAAGCCATCGCTCCTGGCTACCTCTGCAAGCATCCAGAGCTAGCCACACCACCCACTCTCAAACCAGCGGGATGCCCACAGCTGGATAAATATGGGATTCTTTCTCCCACAATAATTATGTTAGAGTCTGTCTGCCTATGTCCATGATTAGAAATAACTGCCACCAAATACGAAATAAAATTGCCGTTAGCGCTATTTTTACTAATTATGAGATATAACTATTACTCACCTGGGTACTTATTTTTTTAAGCAAGCAAATGTACAACCAATAATCCTGAGAGGTAAATATTGTTACTCCAGAAAGATCCAAAGGATTAGAAAAGTTACCCAAGATTATTCAATGGCCAGATAAACTGCTAAAATAGGATTCAGATCCAGTTCTGCCTGAAAACCCTACATGTCTGCCATACAAATCACTTTATGCTTCTAAAAGATAGTAACTCTGAGAGGCCACAGAGAGAGCACTTCTACCTGATTTTTATACTCTCTTCTGAGACTTAGTCTTCAAAAATTTACTTTCCTTTCTCAGGTTGACAGGCTTGAGAAACAACACCAGAAACTCTTCTAAGCCAAATAACAGGAACAGTCTGGATAATCAAACTTAGGTAGAGGTAGAGGTCAAATAAGCAGCTCTTAGTTGAGTCAAAAACTATCCCAAATAGAGATTTCCAAAACATTTTCAGATAAACATACTATTGCCCAAAATGGTAATATTAAAGAATAGTCACCTAAATATATCCATTCTGTTTTTTCTTATACCCTGTTTTTTTTATACCCTTTCTCCATTTAACCAGACTCATTACCTAATAGAGAACTAAAGCAAAGATGTCTTTCTCTAAATTATAATTCACTAGTATTAAGTTGTCTACCAACATAGCCTCACTTATTATTGTATCTCTTTTTTTTGGCCCACAAGCAAATATAGGAAAGAGACATAGACTGTTCAGATAGATACATCAAAGCTCAATTTAAAACTCTTAAAACACAAATAAAACTTTAAGATAATGGACTAAAATAACATCTGAATCAAAATAAAATCTTAATGATCTGACTCTATTCAGCATGAGCATGGAGACTTGTCATTTTCCTCTGTTGACCCCCAAACAAAACAGAAGAGTTTTCAAATGGATGAAATTCTCAGTGTAGAATGAAACTAGGTATGTGGATTTACTTTGCTTGCTGCTAGATTCCCCAGCATCTTCAAACAATGCAGAGACCAATAAACATTTTAACTCCAAAATATATCCATTGCTTTAGATGTCTGAGCAGCAAAGTCAATTTCATAGGGCTTAATACTCTAGATAGCCCTTCATATATTTGAGAATATTACCCAATTCTCTCAAGCTTCCTCATCATTAACTTCCATAGTTCTCAGAAACCAGAGTTATGTGGCTGGACGCTTACCATTGGGTTGCCTGAGAGCATGGTAAACAGTCACTCCGTAGGTCCTCAGGGAAGACTGGTGGTATACCTGGGGGTGAGGCTCTGTGAACTTGTTAGCCTTCATCACGGCCATCTTTGTCCAATCAGAAAAGAACACATGATCCTCAAACAAGCTTATTCCATAGGGATGAGGAATGAGGGAGCCTCCATGAACCACTGTCTTCCTATTGCAAACAATATAAAAATCATTTTTTTGGTTTGTTTTCCTATATTTTTATTCAAGGTGTAACTAGTACAGTGAAATGCCTAAAAAGTTAAATCATTTCTTGTTACCACATAGAAAACATAGAACAGATGCATCGTAAGATACATGTAAAGTTCCATCTTCATTTGATGGGACATTCATGTGGAAAAGGCCATGAAGACTTAAATTCCAGTCCTAGACAACCATCCAGTTTGTTTTTAGATTTGGAGGCAAAATTACTATTTTCTCCCTTGCTCAGTATTCCTTTTTTCCTATATACAAGGCTAATATGTAAGACAGTATTTTAAATTTCATAGATGGGTTAGCATACTAAAAGTTGGAAGTCTGGTGGGAAATGCTCCCAGTACCCATTAACCACTTCTCAACAACAAGGGAGCAGACTGTACAAGTATAAAAGTTCAGCCCCGGCAAACACCCAGACCTTATGCATCTGCTTGATTAAAAAAAAGTCACTAGATCATATTTTTTTAGTAGAAACACAGCACATAGCTGCTTAATTAGGAAGTTAAGAAGACCAAAAAGTGCTAAACAAAGGGAAGAAATCCACCTTGCCTACCATGACCACCTCTAGGTAAACAATGATTCCATTAGACACACGAATAAAGTGAGATAGAATTTCACTATATCTCACTAAAACTCCCTTATTTTCTTTATTTTGGCACTGTCTTTCTTTTGGGAAAAAAATCTTAGCTAAAACAGCATATAGGGCTCTAAGAAAAAACTTGAAGAGACTGAGCATAGTGATCCAGTTATATGTACTATGTATGTAGGATATCAGTTCAGGCCAGCCTAGGTGAAAGATAGAGAGACACAGAGAGAGAGAGAGAGAGAGAGAGATTTTGGAGGTATGATGTAAGTAGTAGAGAACCTGGCTAGGAGGCACAAGGCCTTAAGTCCAAGCCTCAATACTGTCAAAAAAAATTCTACCAGACTTGAAGTATACTCCATTGGTGTATACTCAGTGTCAGAACATATGTTTAGCATGTATGAGACATGAAGCAAAAACAAACGTAAACTTGAAAACATAAACTTGAAATACATATGAGCAGAGTAAAATCCAACCAATTCCCACTGTTAAGTTAAAATGTAGCTAGGTGCCTATGGCTCATATCTGTCATCTTGGCTATTTGAGAGACTAAGATCTGGAGAATCAAATTTCCAGACCAGCTCAGGCAGAAAAGTTCATTAGATTCCATCTCAATAGAAAAAGCTGAGTTTAGTGGCATGCATCATATTCACCAAGCTATGCATCAATCTATGGAGAGTCCCAGCTATGCAGAGAAAAACAGAAAACTGATTTCATAGATCAGATGTATTCCCAAGCATGCATCTGTCTTTTCTGAAAGACTCTATATCAAAAATAAGCAGTATTTAAAAAAAAAAAAGATGGGCTGTAGATATGGCTCAGCTGTAGTTCAGATCCCAATACTGTGAAAGCAAATAATAATGATAATAATGTTTGTTGAGAAACATTAGAAAAATCAGGTAAAGTGGTCTTGGAAAATAAAGCATGAGAGAAATAAATGAACTTCAAGGTAAGTGGCACATATGCTTCATGAGTTAAGGAGGTTCAAAGAATCAGTCTATGTAATATTTTATGACTGTCTTTACAAAACACAAGAGAAAGTAACAAAACCTGTAAAACTATAAAAATGCCTCTTACCTTTGAATTCCATCGTAAGTTACAGTTTCAACATAGTCATAGCGGGAGTCAACCCAGTAAACTCGCTGGGATACAATATCCAGAGTAATGCCAGCAGGCCACCCCAGCTTTGTCTTTACTAAGTCTTTCCGGTTGCTGCCATCCATGAAAGCTCTTTCCAACTTGGGTTCCCCAGAAAGGCTCTCCCAATCTGAGAAGAACAAATAGCTACAAAAGAAAAAGCCAAAGATGAAAGGTTCTGTCATTTCGCAAGGTTATCAGAAAATATTTATTCAGTGTATTTGGATCAATGGGATTTACCATTGACTACCAATGGAGGGATAAAGCATTAGATATGAAAAAGTGTTTACAAAAGGAAACACAGGAGGCTGGCAAGGTGGCTCAGTGGTAGAGTGCTTGCTTTGTATACATGAGGCCCTGGGTTCAATTCCTCAGCACCACATAAACAGAAAAAATAGCCAGAAATGGTGTTATGGCTCAAGTAGTAGAGCACTTGCCTTGAGCTAAAGAGCTGAGGGACAGTGCCCAGGCCCAGAGTTCAAATGCTACAACTGACCAAAAAAAAAGGAAACACAGCACTACATCAGTGGCTCACACCTGTAATCCTGCTGCTCAGGAGGCTGAAATCTGAGGATCATGGTTTGAAGACCAAAATGGGCAGGAAAGTCTATGAGAATATTGTCTCCAATTCACCACCATAAAAGCTCAAGTGATAGAGTGTTAGCCTTGAGCAAAAAAGCTCAGAGAGAGCACCCAAGCCTTGACTTTAAGCTCCAAGACTGCCACCAAAAAACAACAACAACAAAAAGATACAGAAGTAAACACACTATATAAAAAAGGATATAGAAATAAACACTCCATGTTTTTTAAGATACAGGAGTAAATACACTTCATTTTTTTAAAAAACAATAAACTCTAAATAGTAATTGGTAAAATGCATTAATATAGCAGTCTGAAATTGTGTAGTTACCTTAACTTTCTCCTCTGTTCCCTAGCTCTGTATTTCACTTCTTGTTGATATGAAAGAAAACTTAAAAATACAGTTTAAGAAGAGCCATCAAGCTGGGTGCTGGTATCTCTAACTACTATTAACTAACTATTCAGGAAGCTAAGATCTAAGGATCTTGGTTCAAAGCCAGCATAAGCAGAAAAATCCAAAAGACTCTTTTCTCCAATTAGCCAGAAAGTGGCATTTTTCAAGTGGTAGAGCACCAACCTTGAGAGAAAAAACTAAGGGAGACCATAAGGCCTTGAGTTCAAGCCCTAATATGGCATACATGTGCACACATTTACACATACACACACACACACATACACACACACACACACACAGAGCCATCAAGTTATAATTTCCTTCAGTCCTCCACTCTGTGGCATAACCCACTGGACAGTACCATTTTCAAGTACAGCTGATACAATACAATTGCAAACAACTACTAGTCATCAACACTTAAGCAACCTATAGTTCATCCAAGGGTACCTAAGACCCTGGTGCAAAATTCTAGAAAACTTAAACCTTCTAAAACACTTCTCACATGTGGAGATTGGGAACATTTGCATTGAAACTTGAAGGAAAGCTGATTGATTCACATTATAATGAGATATAAGCATTAATCTCAGCTCAAGCCTGTAACAAGCACTAAAAGGAACATTACAACTGCCTTTCTCTTTTTAAAAAAAAATATTAGCTAACTCATGTTAGAGCAACATTTTATTATGGAGCAATTTAATATTGTTTGACCATAATAATTAAATAACTAATACTAATTGAATCAGACTAGACTTCACTCTTGGCTAGCAATTATGGCAAATACTAAAAATAAAGTTCATATCTCAATGCATCAAGTATATTTAGCACAGCAGTAGATGTGTTTGTATTATGTGTTCTCAAATAAGATTACAGTTAGACAATTTCTTTAAAGGCCTCATGAATAGCAACAAAATAACAAAAGAAATTTGGATTAACCACCAAATAATCCACTAGGTATTTCATATTTAGGGGGAGGAACAAAACCTGAACATACAGGAATTAGTACGTTTTCACATGACTTACCCCACAGTTGGGTCCAAGGCAATTCCTCTAGGATGCCCTAAGTTTTCAGTAATAAGGGTAACCCGCTGGCTTCCATCCAAATTTACCATATCTATGCGGTTGACCTTTGTCTCCACCAGGTAAAGTTTATCGTTAATCCAGTCCACAGCCAGATTCTCTGGAGCTTCCACAGAAACATTGAGAACTTCTTGGATATTTAAACCATTAATGTCAACTGAAAAAACCTACAAGAAAAGCTAGAGTTATACTACATAGGCATGACTGTGGGAAGTTTTCCCAGTTCATTCAGAATGTCTATTTTGTAGGAATCAGTTATCTTCTAGACCTTCTTGGTGTTTGTCGTAAGTTTAATTAGAAGATTGGAGGTGTGGCTTCAGTGGTACAACACAAACCAAACAAGCATGAGTCCTGAGTCAAGTTTAATTAGAGTATGGATATTTTGGTGGTGATGGTTTGTGTTGATCCTTGGTTGTAATCAAATCTGAATTATTAGTAATCTATATTTCTATATTTATTAGTAATCTATATTTCTAGAAAAATTATGCAAATTAATATTTAAGTGAATTAGGTTTTATTAGTATGTAATATATTAAAGGAAAAATAACAGGATAAATAAAATTCTGTGCCTCTTTAGGGGTCTCTATAACTTAGGTTTTAAAAATCTGTACTGCATAACTCAAAGTTGAAGTTAAATCATCTCACTTTCCAAATAAGACAGTGTAATGAAACTGTGGCTATTACATAGTGTCAGTGTTTCTTATCCCAATCCTCAATTACAATTCCACTTAGAAGATGCAAGTACAAGTCTGATTTCTATCATCCAGAAAAGCAGTGTACTTTTTACATTTTAAATGATCAAGTTTCAAAACTGACTACACTAAATCTCGTTTTTGAAAGAATGTCTACTATTTCTTTTAATTAGGCTTTTGGACTCATTTTGGAATAAAATTAAAAGTTGCTCCAACCTAATCCATATAATAGACTGCTTTGTGTAATAGGTCCCATGAAACAGTATAGCATGGAGAAGGTGCTGATTAACATAAAATATCTTAAGGGCCTTTTCTGTTAGAAAACAATGGCGCTTTCCCTTCAACTCCCCCCCACCAAAATGAGAAGCTATCAGCACTTTTCACTGGCAAGTTCTAGTCAGCTCCCAAGCTACACTCCAGAAATTTCTATTTACCTTATCTCGCACAGGATCTGTCCAAAAAACTTTGTGCAGACGGTAGTGAAAATCCACACCCACGGCCACGCCACGGTTTTGAGACTCTACTAGAATCTGGAAGCTTCTTCCATGAATATCACCAATAATCAAATCTCGACCATTGGAGAAGATAATGGAGGCCTCTTGAACTAAAGGTGAAGAAGGAAACACTCCTTCAAGTGAGCAAGGACTGACATGCTTTCTGCATTTGCAAATGTTTTCTTCTATGTTACCTTAGTTCTTCCTAAAATAAATCTCTAAGAAAGACAGATGGTAACCATTCTGTCCATTTTTTTGGTGGACAAACTAAGGCACAAAGACGCCTAGCAAACATATCCAAAGTTACAGTGAGTTAGGATCAGAATCTGGCAAGAATTCAACCATCCTAATAGTCCAATGAAGTATCAACAACATGAAAGAGAGGGCACTTTATCTTCATGTGCTCCTTTAGATTGTATGAACACACTCTAAATTTAGAACATACTTTAAAGATCACTGAAGAATTCCTTGTTCTGTAAAATCATATATATATATGTATATATATGATATAAATATGGCAGGTGGTAAGTCCAAATGTGGGCTGTCTATATGCAATAGCTAAAAGTAAGAAATGATTTAAAATTCCATTAGTAAAGAGGATTAAATAAATAAATAAATTATGTACATACAAAGAGGGAATCTTTTTTATTTTTTGTACATTTTTTATTGTAAAAATACTGTACAGAGGGGTTACAGTTACATGAGCAAAGTAATGAGTAAATTTCCAAAGAGGGAATTTTATGCCACTATAAAGAATTAGAGAAGAGCTCCATGTGCTCCTATGGAAAGCTCTCAAAAATATATTGACATTATGCTTTGGATATGTATGTGTGTGTCTTTTCAGAGGGGCAAAGTGGGATAAAGAAAAGGAGAGAAGGGTGAACAAATGCAGTCATAGTATTCAGTATACTCTATATGGAAAATAAACTTTGCAACTTGTGGGCAAGGATGGGAGGGGAAATCTAGGGGAAAGTGAAGGAAGGGATGGCATTGTCCAATAAAGAAATGTACTCATTATCTGAGAAATGGTAACCCCTCTGTACAACACCTTAACAATAACAATAAAATGATATTTAAAATATATATTGACAGCAAAATAAACTGCATAGTTTGTTGCTGTATATGTAAAAATAGTTAAATATCTATACTTACTTATACTTATTCATGCATTTAAAGATGTCTAGAATTGGAATAATGAAACAGAAATTACTTGTGGGAGAGGTGAAGTAGAAAGTTGCAGGGAAACTGGAATGTGGGAGACACTTTACTATATATTCTCTTAAAAATTGAAAGTTTTGAACATGAATATATTACCCATTCAGAAAATAAAGAAATTTTAAAATCAGCTGCACCTAAAAGTAAATGCGTAAGAAATCAGTTATTTCAAGACAAAAATAACTAAAAAATGGGACATTCATAAATCAGATGAAGCGTATAGTTTCAGAAAGCAACAAAAGCACATCACAATCAAGTATAAAACAATAGCTGATGAACAGAGGTAAAAGCTAGGTGTGTGGCAGCACACTTGCCTAGCGTGCACAAGGCTCTGGGTTCAATTCCTAGCACCACAAGAAAAATAAAAAGTTAAAATAGAGATGTGGAAATCTACAGTAACAAAAGCGGTTTGGAGAGATTACAGTACTCTTAGACAGAGACCAACAAAATATCCAGAATGAAGACATGAAAATTCTCAGCCAAATTTTGAAACATGGTATGAAACGTGGTATGAGTAATGCCAAAATTATTTTCAATTTCGTGGTAAGCAAATTAATTAAAGTTAACAGCCAGGTGTCAGTGGCTCCTGCCTGTAATCCTAGCTACTCAGGAAGCTAAGATCTGAGGACTATGGCTCTAAGCTAGCTCAGACAGGAAAGTTCTTGAGATTTATCTCCAATTAATCACCAAATAGATGGATGTAGAGCTGTGGCTCAAGTGATAGAGTACTAGCCTTGAGGAAAAAAGCTAAGGGAAAGTACCAAGGCCCTGGATTCAAACCTCAATGCGAGCACACACACACACACACACACACACACACACACACACACGAAAAAGTTGAATGTTCAAGTCAGTCAAATGTAGTCATAAGACTTACTCTAAAATTAAAAGTGGTGGATGTCAGAGTAGCCTAAGCCAATAAAGAAACTAATAAAAAAATTAATGATCACTATTAATACATATATTGATATGAAATTAATATTGACCCATCCTTCTCAGCAGCAGGGGACATGCCAATTTGAGATGATAAAATCCTGCCAGCAGCATAAATGTGAGTAGTTCTTTGCCATCAGAAGGAAGATACACAGAAGTTAACTGTCAAGAGATACACAGTGTGCACAGTTTACTCACAGGAATCATTAGCTCTGCAATGCTGCTCACGCTCCAGGATGTACCCCTCCTCACAGTGGCACAGATGGTGGCCAAATCGGTTCTCACATTTCTGATCACAGATTCCCCATATCTTGCAGTCATCAAAGTCTGTCATGTTTAAAAAACAAACACATGCATAATCATGTTTAGAAGAGTTTCTTGAGTGCTCTCAGACAAAATCCTGGAAAGCATGATGAAGAATATAGTTATTCCCTTCTCCAAAAGGACTCCCATCTAGCAGTTGGCCCCAATTCCAGGAGTACTGTTAAAAATAGGAACTCAGAACAGGCACCTTCAGTGAGAAGAAACAAACCCAAGATCATGGAAATCACTTTGTTAAAATACCTGAAGGCTATTGTTACAGAAGATCACAACACGGATTCACAGCCCTGTGGCACCAGATTTCACTTATTTGTCACATATGGCTTTTAGTATAGATTCTTACCTCTAAAACTTTGCTTTTCAAATAGTAGCCCCTATATTTATCTAAATTTGGCATTTCTTTGAAAAAAATAAATAAAATTAATAATACTGTTCCCTGGTCATATGTGCTACATTTTAAGTCTCCAGTGTCACACATTAGAGAGTATTAGAGTAGACATGCAGGAATGTATACATACTGAAGAAGGCTCTATTAGGCAACATTATTTCAGAACAAGTAAGACTTGACTTGCCCACATGACAGCTCTATACAGTTAGCAAGCAGAAGCAGGAAGACCACAAGTTCAAGGCCAGCCCAGGCAAAGTTAGTGAGATATTACCATAAAAACAAAAGGGTTTTGAGGGTGTGGCCCAAGTGGTAGAATGCTTACCTAGCTAGGTCCTAGGTTCAACTCACTGAAACACATGTACACACAACAAATATGTATCATCAGTTAAATAAGAAGGAAAGCGTGCCAGGTACCGGTGGCTCACATCTGTAATCCTAGCTACTGAGGAGGCTAAGATCTGAGGATCACAGTTCAAAGCCAGCCCAGGCAGAAAAGTCCATGAGACTCTTATCTCCAATAAACCACTAGAAAACCAGAAGTGGCGCTGTGACTCAAGTAGTAGAGTGTTCACCTTGAGCTGAAGGGCGCAGGGACAGTGCCCAGGCCCAGAGTTCAAGCCCCACGACCGACAAAAAAAAAAAAAAAGGAAGAAGAAGAAGAAGAAGGAAAGTGTGAGGAGAGTAGAAATTAAGTTTTTTTCATGAGAATCAAAGGGAGTGAAAATTAAGTGAAACACTATATGCACACATAATCCATTATTTTTATATAGTTTTCTTCTTATTTTGTGCCTCCTCCTACCACCAAATACTGCTCTGAAAATAATTTAAAACCTGTTTTTAGTTTAGGCCACCATAGGCATCTCTGACCTTCTGCTGGATAATTCTCCTCCATGCTGAATGACTGCCCAACCCTAACTCTGCACCACCTTGTCATTCTATCAACAAACAGTGTGTCCTGTCAACCAGAAACAATGAGCCTTTAAACTGCTTCAGCATGCCATAGAGGGTCCATTATAAAGCCAAGACTACCAGGAGCAGAGAAAGGGCAGGAAGATGCTAGATCTCATGTCAGGATCAACTCAATTTTATTCTTGATTACCTAGAGGCCTTCATCAATGAGCTATGTCTAAAGATGAGAAACACTGCATATATTTCCAACACAAGAAGCTTCTGGCATGATCCAGCCATACACAAGGAAATCTTCTCATGAGTACGTGTTGGTTTGAAGTGCATGAGATAGCAAACCAAAACAATAATTTAGCTAGTTAAACAAGTACAATTGGTTTCATAATATCATGTATTTCAAGAGTTCTCTTTACAGAAAAATACGGTTTTCTTTGAAACAAAGATGAAATAAATGTTAAGCCAGCTTCAAAACTCATCAAGCACTTTTGAAGGAGAGGGAAGGTCACAGGAAAACAATCTCAGTAGGTAGGGAGCAGGGGCCTCACATTCACAAAGGCTTCAAATATCGAGATGGGCACCAGTGGCTCATGTCTATAATCCTCGCTACTTAGGAGGCTGAGATCTGAGGATCACAGTTCAAAGCCAGCTTGGGCAGGAAACTCCTTGAGACTCTTATCTCCAATTAACTGCCAGAAAACCGCAAGTGTGCTATGGCTCAAGCAATAGAGCTCTCACTTTGAGCTGAAGAGATCAGAAACAGTGTCCAGACTGAGTTCAAGACCCATGACTGACAAAAAAATACGTATATATGGACTCATGAGCCTGTCTCTAAATAAGGTTGTCCATAGTAAAAGTCCCAGAAAGACACTGGGAAGACTAAAAGATGTTTTTTGTGAAGGCTAAACAAATACCCCATGTGCGTTGGGTCACAACAAACTAAAAGTGTTTTTATGAATTCTGAAACGATCATGTACACAATATATGGTATCATTTTCTATATTACACTCATTGTATTCATTAGTAGGCTATGTGTAAAATAACCTTGTTATATGTATGTGTAATATAACCTTTTCATTTAAGAAGTTACAAAACATTGAAGTTGGAAGTGGAGCTGCAGCTCAAGTGGTAGAATGCCAGCCTTGAGCAAAATAAAACACATGAAATCTTGAGGCCCTGATTTCAAGCCCCAGTACTGGTTAAAAAAAAAAAAAAAAAAATCAGAAATAAGAGCTAAGCATGATGGCACATGCACGTGTGTCAGCACTCAGGAAGCTAAGGCAGGAAGACAGAAAGCTAGAGGCAAGACTGGTTAAAACAAACAAAACAATAAAAGAAAACAAAAATCCAGGAGGAAGAAAAGGGAAAAGGAAATGAAAGCATTAAAGCTTATTGTTCATAGCCTAAGATTTGGTAATCCATGGTCATGCCTAATTTCCCCACTCTAATCATAGCAGCACGTAAAGCTGCAATCAGAACCAAAAATGTCCCAGTTGGAGAAACCATTCTTGTGATTCAGATAGCACAGATGTGGGGAAATCGTTGGTGAACTGGTGTCTGAGTGAGGGGTAGCCAGAGCTGGAAGCATCATAATTAAAAACAAAACTTGTTTGTCTTGAATGTGAGCTCCAGCAGAGGTGAAATTGATGAAATTAGCCATCAGCTGAGCATAGGCACTGACTTTGCCTAACCCTGCCAATCACCAGAGCAATCATCTGGTGATCTTCCACTCTATCAGGTAACAACTCTTTAGTTGCTGGATCTTATGGACATTTGTGCATCCTAGAAAACAGGCCAAGAAAGCAGGCCCAGGAGGGGCACTTGATGGACTTAGGGCAGCGGATATCTACCAACCATGTGGGTGAAAGTATTTCCTTACTTAATACAACATGGTACTGACCTTTCTTCCAAACACTACACAAAGAAACATAAAATACCACTCCCTTCATCAGGGAATGGACAGGTCCATGTAGCTCTAGTCAACCCCCTCGTATGAAACCACTCTTGAACTTCGTGTACCTCACACAAGCTCTTCAGAGTCCACACTTCCCACTTTGCAGGTTTTCTGTGAGAACTGAGCACTCTTTGATATATAGACCATCACCCCTATGGAGGTCAGAGGTCACAGAGCCTATCAGCACACTGTGATGATTCCCAGGAGCTCCCTCCTGTCACTTACCAAGACAGGTACGGCTGTCATTGTGGTTGATGATAGATGCTGGGGGACAAAAGCACGCTCCTCCACTTGGTGTCTTGTGGCATTGGTACTCACAGTTTAAAACAGAGCACATACTCATATCTAAACAGAAGGAGAGAGAAAAAAATCATTGTTAAGTGAACAGTTTCCAGAAAGAGCAGTTTATCTAACAGCTTCTTTTCCTGTAAGTAAAAGCCAAAACAAGCATGTGGTAGAAGAGGAAAAGTCTGTCACCATAAAAACCTTCCTGCAATATTGCCCAGTAAAAGCCTTGTCCATAAAGCATTACCAATGCTGTTAGGTGCAATTACAAAACCAACGCACATGCTATTTGTGGAAAAATCATATCCTAAGTCTATCATTGTGTCTAAGCATTAAAGGGGGCAAAGAATTCACAAGGCACTGACTGCAAATATGCTCTAAAAAAGTTAGAGCATGGCTATCTTCAAGTGGTGAGATTCTGTGTGGGTTTTTTTGTTGGTGTTTCCATTTTTATTTGCCTTCATTAATTTTTTAATCCTTTCAGCAATGACAATAAATCTGTTAATTTTAAAGCTTTTCAGCAGAGTTCCTACATAAGATGGAACATCTCAACATATTTAAATATTAGATTTTTTTCATGGAAAAATCCTTGGGGTTATTGTAGTGCCATAGATGCATTTGGACAATCTTGATTTAGAGAGTACACAGCCAATTAAATCAAGTCCATATATTGCATTCCCTAGAGGCCCATCAGCTGTCCAGAGTTGTTAATGGTGAGGGGAATATTCTACAGCCACAAAAAGAATAAAAGAAAAGAACTCCACACAGTTTCCCCACAAAATAAAACATACAACACTGGGCATGATCAATTCAATTTTACTATTAGAAAACAATTCAAAGCCAAAGCAAGGAGATATGACAAAGTAAACAGGTCTCAAGAAACAAAGGACTGCCACTCATTTTGTCATATCATTGCTTAATGACTCCATGTTCCTGACCACATATATGGTCTATGTATGTGCTCAATGGAGGGAAGCTAGGAGGAGGACACAGGATCAGTGGGAAATGGGAAAACATACAACAAAGGGGCCCATCAGCTGAAAATGAACTAAGCAACCCAAAGACAGCAATGGGAAGAGAGGAATGAGAGGGAAAAAGGGAAGAGCTTACAGTAAGCAAAAGGAAAGAATGTAAATATCACCTGATGTGGAAGATATAATTGTATTGTCAAAGCTCATAGAATTCACAAACTTTATAGACCATGATAATGACAATTTGTCTTGTGAAGGTTAAAATGTGTTTGTGACTATAACTAAGTATCACTATTCCACAATACTGTGAAATGTGTGAAATTTATGTGATCACCTAATCTCAATTAGAAAAAAAAAGAGAAAAGTGAGAGAAGGGATGGGTTAGGAGCAATGGATGACAATGTTGTCAGACACTTTGTACTCATATACTGTTTTGTAGAATGGGAACTTCTTTGTACAAGTACTTAAAGATAATAAAAAAAAATTTTAAATGAAAAGACACTGCTATAAAAAGAATTAAGCTACTATAGACCTGATCACTAGATGGAAAAGGCTTCCTAAGTCTAAAAATAAAGAACAAATATTTTATAGTTAAAAAACAAAGAAAAGTTACAGACTGTGGTAGACAATTTGCTCCAGGGAAGTTAGAATGAACTTGTGACTTTGAAATTATGTAATCATTTAATCACAATCAAAAAAAAAAGAACCTCGGGGAAGGGAGGGAGGGAGGGGATGGTAGGGGGAAAACAATGGAGGGGGTAACAATGTTCAAGAGGAAGTGTACTCATTACCTCACTCATGTAACTGTAACCCTCTGTATAGTAGCTTTACAATAAAATAAAATTTAAAAAAAAAAAAAAAAACAAAGAAAAGAATTCAAAGTACATACCCTGGAAATTAGGAGCTTCATGTGAGACACTAAAGACAGATAAGGCCTTTGTCTATTAATGATGAAACTAGAAATTAAATGTTCCAGACAGGGCTTAGAGTAGATTGCTTGCCTAGCATGTGCAAGTCCCTGGGATTAATCCCTAGCATTATAAAAATTTCATCATCATCACCATCATCATCACCATCAATAGTAATAATCATAATAATAAAATCTAAGTATTTTTGGAGTCACCAAAATTGTTCCACACTTACCACAATTTCTTCCACTAGTTATGTTGGTTTCATCTTCTCCTTCTGGACAATCTGAAACCCCATCACACACTTGAAAAATGGAGATGCATTTTCCAGACTTTGGACAAGCCCATTCTCTTGGGTAGCATGTGTGGTAGCGATGATGACTGCTTTCTGTGAAGGAACAAGAGATAGTTGCAGGCCACTGCAAGGAGGAGGAGGCTTTTCTGATTCATGGTTAAGAGAAGATTGGGTTGATAAAAGAAATCTTTATATCCTTCATACTTTGCAATACTCTGTAATTTACAATAAACACTCCATTCCTAACTCTACCATTAGCCTTTTACTGAGAGTCTAAGAAATGACAAAATGCAATTTTGCCTCTGGAGGAAATAGCCCCCATAGGCTACAAGAGTGAGAAGCAGATATGAGCCTGAATTATCAACAAACTAGATTCATAATCTGCTAAGAGAATATTCAGTTATTTATTCATAAAGTGTAGAACTAGGGCTGGCCATCAAGGTAACTCCACAATTCCTGAGCTTGAGGCTTTCTCATTTGATTTGTTTTGTATTCAGTGAAATGTTAATAGAAGGAAAACTATAACTCAAATGTAGGAAAAACAGTGCTGAAAACATGAAAACATAAACTCAGAACAAGCATCACCTTGATTATGTCCAGGATTAGAACAGCACAGGTAACGTGTTATATGGTATGGGTATTTGTAACTTCAAAATTGTGGGAGGGCTGGGCACCGGTGGCTCACACTTGTAACACTAGCTACTCAGGAGGCTGAGATCTGAGGATCACAGTTCAAAATCAGCCCAGGCAGAAAAGTCTGTAAGACTCTCATCTCCAGTTAACCAACAGAAAACTGGAAGTGGCACTATGGCTCAAGTGATAGACTGCTTGCCTTGGGCTGAAGAGCTAAGGGATAGCGCCCAGAGTTCAAGCTCCAACAACAAAAAAAGAAAAAAACCAGAACTCTGGAAGGTGTTGTTGATGACAGCAGCAGGGGAGGAGATGAATATCATTGGCAATTCCTTCTCAAATAACCCTTCACCCTATCCCTGGGCAGTGACATGTCCTGCACCCATCAATCCCTAGCTTCATGCCAAATATTTCCAGTTGGCCTCTCCATCACAGGGGATCTTGACCCATTTAGAGTTCAGAATTTGTAAAAATCAAAACAAAACTCTTACCACAGTTCAATCGCTTTTCAAGGTTGTAAAGTCTAAGACAAATCACATTTAAATCTGTTTTTCCCTCATTTCCCACCCTACTACTTTAACATATATAAAATGGGTTGTCTTGGGGCTGGGAAGGTGGCTCAGTGGTAGAGCGCTTGCCTTGCATGCCTGAGGCCCTGGGTTCGATTCCCCAGCACCACATAAGCAAAAAAAGAAAAAAGCCAGAAGTGGCGCTGTGGCTCAAGTGGTAGAGCACTAGCCTTGAGCTGAAGAGCTGAGGGACAGCGCCCAGGCCCAGAGTTCAGGCCCCACGACCGGACCCAAAAAAAAAAAAAAAAAAAATGGGTGGTCTTAAGGGGAACAGGTCAGAAGAGACAATTCAACAAAAAAGTATCAAGAAGTTGAAATATGGGCTGGGAGTATGGCCTAGTGTTAGAATGCTTGCGTAGCATGCATGAAGCCCTGGGTTCAATTCCTCAGTACCACATCATGCTAGCCTTAAGCAAAAGAAGCTCAGGGACAGTGCCCAGGCCCTAAGTTCAAGCTCCAGGACTGGAAAGAAAAAAAAGAAGAAGTTGAAATATGCCAGGCCACTGGTGGCTCATGCCTATAATCCTAGCTACTAAGGAGGCTGAGATCTGAGGATCACAGTTCAAAGCCAACTGGGGCAGGAAAGTCTATGAGACTTTATCATTGATTAACCACCAGAAAACCAGAAGTAGAGCTGTAGCTCAAGGCAGAGTCCCTTGAGCGAAAAAGCTCAGGGACAGTATCCACAGCCTGAGTTCAAGGCCCATAACCAACCAAAAAAAGGTGAAATATAGCTTAAACTGGAAGTAGAAATGTTACTGAGAGAAGCAGATGAATGGAAAAGGGAATGGGGAACAAATACAATCATGACACTGTGTGTGTGTGTGTGTGTGTGTGTGTGTGTGTGTGTGTGCACGCGCGCACACACATGTGGGGGGGTGGGTGTGAGAGAGAGAGAGAGAGAAACAGGAAGTGGAAATTTGGTATGACTTGAAGGGGAAGGGATAGGTAGGATGAGGGAGAATGATGGCAGAGGTGACTCTAATCAAGATGCTCTGGACACAGAAATAGACATGTTAAATTATAACCCTCTTGTACTATAATTTGATGATTTAAGAAGAAAGAAAAAAGAAAGAGGAGAAACTATTCTATTTTTCCTTAGTAATGGGAAGAAGGCTTTTTGATGCTATATCTGAGTTCCATCTTTTTAGGAAGGCTGAGAGCCATCACCCACTAAATCCCTACATGACTCCTCAAACCTGAGGTTTGCTTATAATACAAAAGATGTCTAATGAGGAACAGAAATAAAACTTCAAGAAAAATACATTTCTACAGGACTCTCACACCCCTACCCCTTACCACATCCATCTTCATCTGCATTATCTTGACAGTCATCATCTCCATCACAAACCCAGTTCTGATGAATGCACTGCCCACTGGGGCAAGTGAACTGATGGCCACCACAGGACTCGTACTCTGGAAGAAGACAACAGAGCAATCAGAGACATCATCCCTGGGAAAAATTCCAAGCACTCACTCACTGCCTACCCTGATCACCAAGCAGATTTCTGTTATCAATCACCCCCTTTAACATCTTGACAAAATGAAAAAAAAGAATTAAGGAAAAGAGAAAGGAGCTGGGCACCAGTTGTTCACACCTGTGATCCTAGTTATTCAGGAGGCTAAGATTTGAGGAGCAAGATTGAAAGCCAGCAGGAAAATGCATGAGATCTATATTTTTAAGCACCAAAAAAGCCAGAAGAGGAGCTATTTTTCAAGTGGTAGGGCTCTAGCCTTGAAGGAAAAAAGAAAGCTCAGGGACAGTGTCCAGGACCTGAGTTCAAGCCCCAACACCAGCACTAGAAATGGGGTTGGAGTAAAAGAGAATGGAAAAAAAGAAGATAGCAGCAGCTTGGGATCCAGGAAATTAACTCAGGTGCCAGTCTCTATTGCTCAACATTAAAAATGAAATAGTCTATAAAAAAGTCTGATAAAGTTATTAGAAATCTATTCCTGAAGTATGGGTAATTTAAAAGTCTTAGGATAAATACTACCTGTACCCTGTAGCTGAAGGAAAGTCAGCAAACCATCCAACAGCAACACCTCAACTCTGTACAGACCCTTAGAGAACACAGAGTCTTAGGCCCAACAATATTGCTAAGACTACCTGGCCCTATCTGATCTTTTGTTTGTTTGTTTTTATGCCAGTACTATGTCTTGAACTCAGGATGTAGTGTTCTCACTTGGTTTTTTCAATCAAGGATAGCACTCTACGACTTAACCCACACCTCCACTGCTGGCTTTTTGGTGACTAGTTGGAGATTCACAGACTTTTCTACCTAGGCTGGGTTCAAACTGAGATCCTCAGATTTCAGCCTCCTGAGTATCTGGGATGATAGGTGTGAGCCGCCAGCACCCAGCTCTATATAATGTTTTGATTCCATCTGCCATCAACTTTAGTGACTCAACTTTGGGGGAGGGGGAAGTAATTATACTGGTATAACAGTGAGAAAAACAGCAATAACAACAAAAAATATCCCTAACCACATGAGCCAGAAAAAGGAAACCACCATACCGCAGTTATGTTCATCAGTGCCGTCATCACAGTCAAGGTCATGATCGCAGATATAGGCTCGAGGGATACACTCTCCATTGCCACACTCAAACTCACTGTGTGTGCACATCCCAGCTGGAGCACAAAGTCAAGAAGGAAAAGGAAAGAAACATTTTACTTCCAGTCGAGCCATTTAATCTCATCTCTACCTTAAGTTTACAAGGTGACTCTTCTTAGGCAATGGTTTCCTGATAAATGTTTAACCAACAAATTCTCCAAGAACCAAGAGGGCCTCATGTCTCCAAAGGAGACATCGACATACCACTGCTCCTCCCGAGCACATGACTTACTGCAGTTGGCTTCATCCGAGGAGTCCCTGCAATCAATTTTCTGATCACACTTCTGACTTGTGTTATAGCAGGCTCCACTGGCACAAGTAAGCTGCTCACATGTTGGATATTCTATGTTGAGAAAGAATGGAAAAAGAAAACAAACCTTAAATTAAGACATTCTCCCAATATGTTGCCATAAGCCCTTGACAAAGAGGGTAAGACTCCTACGACCAAGATGCAGCATCTGGTCACTCCAAGTCCTCAACACGCTTGCCAGCATATTTCTCTAAAAAACAGTGTACTAAAATTGTAAAATTAAATTACAGTAAGGTAAAAACAAGGAAAAGGCTTCAGAATATGCTGAACATTTTTGGCCAAGAGAATAAAGGAAGCCAAAGAAAAACATCCAGAGCAGATTTCCTGCTTGGTGCTTCTAAAGCGCTTCTCCTTCGGAGTCCACTCAAATCAAAGTCTGTTTGTCTCTTTGATTTGTTTGTTTGTTTGTTTCCTTTAAGAAGTATTCAAATGTTTTTTTTTCTTTCATGCAATTGTTTCTAACACATTTATAAGATGATTTCTTTGTTGCTTTGTATGTCCTCCCCCATGGTATAACCCCTGCTTTCACTGTATTTGATGTTGGTATAATTTGTGGAGGGGAAGGAAAAAAACAAATTGTTTAACTAGGGATACAGGTGAACCCATTGCAACAATGAGATGTACAAGTCATTATGTCGAAAAACAAACTTTACAACTTTGGGGGGGAGAGGATCAGGTAGGGGAGCGGGGGAGGTGGGTATGGGAAGGGATGGGAAGGGGAAACAAAGGAGGAGCCAACAATGCTTGATAAGAAATGTACTTATTTACTCATTATCTTGCCCATGTAATTGTAACTCCTCTGTACAGTAGTTTCACAATAAAAAAAAAAAAAAAAGAATAGCAAACTTGCTGGGTGCCAGTAGCTCACACTTGTAATCACAGAGGTCTGAGAATCATGGTTCAAAGCCAGACTGGACAGGAAGTCTATGAGACTCTTATCTCCAATCAACCACCAAAAAGCTATAAGTGGAGCTGTGGCTTAAGTAGAGGAGCACCGGCCTTGAGCAAAGAAGCTCAAGTTCAGTGCTTATGTCCTGAGTTTGAGCCCCAGGACAGGCACCAAATAAAAACATTTAAACAACAACAACAAAAAGAATAGCAAACAAATAGAATCAAACATAAACGAAATGGAAGATATTTTTAAGTGCTGACTAAAATATTGCATTTTTCTGAACTTTATTTTATAATAGTTCCAAAGAAGCTAGTGCTCAATATCATCGCTAGCATGGAAAAGCTCAGCTTTGCCAAAGTTCTTTTATACTGGTTACTCCACTGTTTATTAATTCTGCCTTCAAGAGGATGCAAAAAACCAGGTGAGGCCAACAAGCAATTCCCTACCCCCATACAGCTCCTGGAATCAGTATGGTAACTAGCCTTTCAAGAACAGCAGCAAGCAGAGAAAAAAAAATCTTAGAAAATGCAGCTCTCTGCCTTAGATAAGCTAGCTGTCAAGGGGAAATTTACAGGGGCTAAGATTGTGGCTACCACAGAGGTGGTTGTTCTAACCAGGAGGGATCTGGGTAAGTTATGAGTTGTGCTGGACAGAGCTCTTGCCTTCTTCAGCAATAAATCAGCATCCACTGACTCAAGTAAAAGTTTACTGACAGCTCCTTCCTTCAAAAAGACACAGGAGAGGTAGGGGTGAGAATGTTGAAAGGGGTGACATTAATCAAGATGCATTGTATTCATAAATTGCTGTGTTAAATAGTAACTCTTTTGTACAATTACTTAAAGATAATTGTGTGTGTGTGTGTGTGTGTGTGTGTGTGTGTGTGTGCATACAAAATAGGGATTAAAAAAAAAAAAAAAAAACACCAAGACCAGCTTGCTGTCATCAGGGAGGTATTATATGGTCACCCTGGACTTCTTGTCTCTATCCACAATGATTATGATTCTCTCTCCATCAGTAGAGGACCCCCTCAACTCCTGTATCCCCAGAGGTGCAAAGCCATAGGAAACACTATACTGAAATCTTCACTAAACACTGAAACTGTTTGGAAATCAAATGTTTTCCCCCCTTTGGAGATCCACACAGAGGGATCCATTCTAATTGCTCACTCTGAGAAAAGGAAGAAATGAATAGCCCCACCACTTCCTCTGCTAAAGCCATTAAGGAGTTTCGATGTAATCCAGGGGTGGGGGCAAGTGGGGGGGAGTCACCATCCTATGAGCTTCCCATTGGGAGAAAGCTAAAATAATCTTGTTCAGGGGGCCTAGTTGCTTGGCGATCCTGGGTTTAACTATATAACTAGATAGACCAAATCTACTATGTGGGTCAATGTCCTGCAGGATTATAAGCGTGAGGAAAATGAAACATGACAGGAAACTATGCAAAAGGACATGAAGGAGACTATTCGCTCCAAGGAGAAGATTGACAAGCACCTAGTAACTCAGGCTGCAACCTTTCATCTTTATCGGCCACAAAAATGTGAGACACCAGTCCACATACCATTCCTTGCTTCTACTTAATATCTTCCAGTTCTAAACTTGCTTGTTCCTGCCAAAAGGAGAGCTGCCTCCAAATATACAAAGATTGGTGTTTGAAGATTTGGAAAATGTGATCTCTGCTAATAATTCATGGTAGTGGTAAGTTTCACACAATAGTCCTGTTTATTTAATCAAGGAGGAAAACAGAGGAATGTAGTTTGAGGTCCCAGTAAACCAACCAGAATGGAAATCATTTACAGCTAAGTAAGATACTAATAGAGGACACTATTCTTTATTATCTTGCCATACATACTGTAAGTATGTTCTTTTCTCACAATGATAAAAATGGATAAAAGAAAGCAAACAGTATAAAAAGAAAGCATCTTAATCATAGACTAAGAAACTGAAGCCCAAGATTGCACAGAAAACAAAGTTACTGATAGACAAAAGCAGCCCAGATACCAGGAGCTTTTCAAAGTCCAAGAGTCATCTTCAATCAAGTTTCTTAATCTGGCTCTCAGAAAGGTTCATCCAGTCAATGCCATGATTTCCCAGAAAAAGTTTGGCTGCCATCCCTTAGTTAACACTAATACCCATTGCTAACAAAGCAATCAATAAGAAATCAATAATATATTGAAAAGTATACATCACAATAATGTCAGAATGTTCAATATGCATGAGTATCTTCCATCTTTATAACTACCTCATGAGGCAAACACTATGATTATTTCTGTCATATAGTTGAAGAGCCTGGGGCACCAACAGGTTAAGGAATTTGAAAAAACTGGGCTAAAGGACTGTGAAGTGAAGAGATAAAGTTCAAATTCAAGCAATCTAGCTCCACACCTCATTCCTAACCACCTTAAAAACTCACATGACCCTCAGAATTCTTCGAGGCTCCTTCTAAGGGAAGGAAGGAGGAAGAAGCAAAAAATTGTCAAAGAAAGAGTAGTATTAAGTGAAATGGAGACGGAAAACACTGCAGAAAAAATATGAAAAGGGGGAAAGCTGCTTTCTTTCATCCAGTCAGCGTCTTCTGCACTCTGGGAAGCCTACAGCGGTGAGGCCAACTCCAGAAGAAGGCAACTCTCTAGATTTCTGAACCATATGGTGCATTCTACAAAAGATGTCAATCTGAAACAATTTAGGTAGTCCAGAAGAAACTCTGTTAGGAATCCCAACTTTCAAAAGAGGGACCAAGACAAACAAGAGAGTCAATAAAACAGGCCATAAAGTAGCAGCTTGCCACTCCCCAGCCCAACTCCAACCACCTCAATTTAAGCCCCAGAAAGAACCAACACCCAGGGAGCAGAGTGATACACACAAAAGAACAATAAAGGAATGTTCTTGTATCTTTCTAAATACAATTTGAAATGACCTTCAATAAAAGGTATATATGATGAGGTTTATAAAATGAAAATATGTAATCTGCACCTTGCAAAGAGAAAGAAAGCATAATCACCCCATAGACTAGAAGAATTGAACGAAGGTCAAATTTGTTCTGAGCCACTTTCAGGAAGCCAAGACCAAAGGGGAAACACAATGTGTTATCTAGTCCTCCTTATCCTTTTATACAGGTCCCTTTGTAAGATCTGAGTGTTAAGCCCCAAATTCCTATCTGGATTCTATCTGCAGAGGCTAGATCTTAGATAGACTGTAACCTAAAGCACTGCTCCTAAGGTCTTGGATTTAGAATCCCTCCTTCTTTCCATGTACAGAGCTACAACCAATAAGTAAACAGTAGATTGAGACTGGTATAGTTCCAAATTAAAGCAACAACCAAAAAAGAAAATTAAAACTTAAAAAGCCAATATAAATTTTCTGACACAGGGGTAAACAAGAAACAAGATGGAAAAATGATGTATCAAATGCACCAGAGGAATAAATGTTTATAATACACACCATATTTAATATCACTGGTTAGCTGTAGAAGGTGTTATGGGAGCTTCATGCTGTCACTTGAGGGAATGATACAAATACCTTGGTCCCAGTCCTATCTCCCAAGTTGTTTGGGAAGAATAAAGAGGCAAGTCTTGTAAAAAGAGACAGGAGAACCAGCTGTATCCCAGATGATAAAATTGGCCTCCTTCCAATAACTAGAAATAGTGTGACAAGACCCTTTGCTGGAAATTTGCACATAAACACTTTACTACTAAATGTTGCTAAGAACCAGACAGTGACAGTGTTGCCTTCTTCTCAGTTAATACAGTATTCTATTCAATGTTTGTTATTCAAATCTGACTTCCTAGATATGTGCTAAGAGATATGCCAAAGCCAAGAATGGTGGTACATTCCTGTAATCCAGTACTCTAGAGGTTGAGGTGACTGCATCAGCAGTTAGAGTCTAGAATTTGATCAAAATATGTTATATTTGTATATGTGTGTAAATATCATAATGACACTGTTTCATATAATTTATGCTGTTAAAAAAAATTGCCTTTAAGAATGAGCTGGAGGGGCTGGGAAGGTAGCTCAGTGGTAGAGCGCTTGCCTTGCATGCATGAGGCCCTGGGTTCGATTCCTCAGCACCACATAAGCAAAAAAGAAAAAAGCTGGAAGTGGCGCTGTGGCTCAAGTGGTAGAGCGCTAGCCTTGAGCTGAAGAGC